CACACTGTAGATAAACGATGCAGCTCTTCTGTGTTGTTCTGCTGCCTTCATCACGTCATACATGGAGACGCACACGGAGCGTCAATCCAACATAAATCTTTCCATTTTTGTTCCATATCTTCAGTTCCTGCACAATGAGCATAAATTAAATGATTAATGCAAAAGTCCTGAAAATCCATGGGTCAAAATGTGTATGAACTCTGTGAAACCTTCTCTCCTCACAGGTGTCCAAACCTGAGGCGCCGGACGCCACCCACTTCTCTTGGTGTCCGGACGGCGAGCACGTTGTCACGGCGACGTGCTCTCCCCGGCTGCGAGTGAACAACGGGTTTAAGATCTGGCACTACACCGGCTCTGTGCTGCACAAGCAGGAGGCGGAGCCCGGCTGCCAGCTGTGGGAGGTCCGCTGGCAGCCGGCGCCCGAGGGCAGCTTCCCCGGGCGGCCCGTCAGGTACCAAGCGGCGCCCAGCCAGCTGGGGACGACACAGGCCACGCCCACACAAGCCTACCGCCCCCCTGCACTCAGACACCTGCCAGCCACACCCAGCTCCAAACTGGTGAGCAGACGGCCCTGGACTGGGTTCCCCTCCATCACACTCCTCACATAGTGTGATGTTGATTTGAAGAGGAAGACGACGATGATTCATTTCACTCTTTTGTTTGTCAGCATGAGGAGGAACTTCCTCAGAATCTGCGGCCAGGAGAGAAAAGTGTCTCTAAATCAGCTTTGAAGAATCAGAGGAAACGAGAGGCCAAGAAAGCCAAACAGGTGACCGGATCTCAGCCAATGGGAGTCCTCTAAAGTTAGGACCAGGTCACCTGATGTTAGCCAATCAAACGGCTTTTCTTATCAAATGCATTTACATGATACATTAATATGTATTAATAAACATTTAATGATGATTATTTTGCAGGAGTTGAAGCCTAAAACTGAACCTCCATCTGACCCCGCCCACATCATTACCAGCCAGTTAGAGCCGAGCTGTGGCGACCCCGAGACGGACAAGAAGATTAAGAATGTGAAGAAGGTGAAGGATCAGTCCGTCATTTATCAGACGCTTTTATCCAAAGCGACGTCCAATAAGTGCATTTAACCACAAGGACACAAACTCAGAAGAACAAGACAGTGTGATTTCATCAAATAAGCCGATCTACAACTCGCTGTAGATAAGAACCATTATAAGTCCAATGTAAGTGCTACAGTTAGTTGGTGTGTTAGTGGAGGTAGAGTCTGAAGACGTGTGTCTTTAGTCTGAAGATGTGAAGGCTCTCTGTGGTCCTGATGTCTTCAGAGACCTCCTTCCACCATTTAGGAGCAGGACAGCAAAGAGTGGAGATCTAGTCGAGTGTTTTGCTCTCAGTGAGGAGGAACAAGCAGTTTATCACATGCAGAGCGGAGAGTGCAGAGGTCGGGATGTCGGGTTGGACCAGGTCCTGGATGGAAGCTGGACCCCATCCATTCACAGCACGGTACGTGAGCACCATGTTTAGAACTGGATGAGCCACCGGTACCAGTGAAGAGAGCGGAGGAGTGGAGGAGTGAGGGAGAACTTAGGAAGGTTAAAGACCAATGGAGCTGCTGCATTCTGGATGAGCTGCAGAGGTGGAATGGTGGTAGCAGGAGACCTGCAGGAGGGAGTTACAGGAGTCCAGGAGGGAGAAGAGCCTGAATCAGTACCTTCTGAGTGAGAAGAGGACGTGTTCTCCTGATGTTGTAGAGCGAGTATCTACAGGATGGTGTTGTCAGTGATGTTGGAGTCAGGGAGAGTCGGCTGTCGACGTCACGCCGAGGTTCCTGCAGTCAGAGTGGACGTTAACACGGAGTCTCACAGTTAACAGTCAGGTTCTGTGAAGGAGAATCTTTCCCCAGAAAGAGAAATAGTTCCGTCTGTTGGGGTTGATTGTCAGATGGTGGGCGGATCCACTGAGATGTCAGTCAGACAGGCAGAGATCCGAGGGAGGGAAGGAGAGGATTAGTTGGTGTCATCGGCGTAGCTGTGGTAGGAGAAGCCATGCGAGCGAATGACAGCGCAGAGAGAGTTGGTGTGTCCTGTGTTCTGATTGGTCAGGAATGTCTTCCAGAAACTTAAAGCCATCGAGGAGCTGAAGGACCAACGGGCTTCTGGAAAAGTTCTACAAAATAACCAGGTGATACACATTAATACACACACATACATTAACACACACACTAAACTAATGATATTTCATCTGTCTTTCACTCTAGTTGATGAATTGATTGATTAAAGATTATTGATCAGCGGTTGATGTAAGGTGGTCAGCACTCTATCTGAGGGTTTGTTTGATTTCCTCAGCTGGAGAAGTTGCAGAAAGAGGATCAGCTGCTGAAGGAGCTGGAGGAGCTCCAGATTGAACCATAGAAGACGCTGCAGGCCACGCCCCCTCTGTTTACTCACACACACAAACACACGTACACACACAAACATGTACACACACATACTATATCCTAAAGTTCCTAAAAAGTTCAAGGCTGCATATATTGTTGTTTCTTTGGTGGGCGGAGCTTGGGTAAGGAAGGGTGTGGTTTGTTGGAGGATTGGATGGGGTCACCATCCCCCCATTCCTCTTTCCATCAGGTGTCTGTCCAAAGGATTCTGGGAAATGTAGTTCAGTGTGCTATGCGTCCAAAGCCCTGTTGCTATGCAACATCTGTACAGATGCTGAAGCCTTTAATAGTGGTCTTTTCAAAATAAAAGCCTGGATGAAACAGTTTGTTTTTCAGTCATTTTGTTTCCAGACTTTTCTCCGTGAGACATCCAAAGACCTCGGAACTCTGCTCCCGCTGTGGGAAGGGTTAAAAATGTAACGTAAGTCGCTTTGGATAGCTAAATGACAGAGCCGAAGAGGTTTTTTTTGGGGTGGCCGGCCAGCCTTTCTGGGACCAGAGTGAGACCAGGAGAAAAGGAATGTTGTGATCTTCACAATAAAACATCTTTGATGTGACGTGACAAGCCAGTCAGCATTGAGATATCTACAGTCTTCTGACTGCCGACACTGGAGTATCGTTATTAGGGTCCTTGCTATGACTAGTCGTAGAGAACCTATTGCATTTCAAGGAATTATTATTCTGACAAACTAAGGGCCTTTTTGGGTGCTTTATCATATTCAAAAAGATGTTAAATTTGGCATGCATATTACATCACATGTCATTTATCTGATGCTTTTATCCAAAGCGACTTACAATCAGTGCATTCAACCATAAGGACACATCTACAACTCGCTGTAGAGAAGAACCATTATAAGTCCAGTGTAAGTGCTACAGTTAGTGTGTTAGTGGAGGTAGAGTGTAAAGAGGTGTGTCTTTAGTCTGAAGATGTGAAGGCTCTCTGTGGTCCTGATGTCTTCAGAGACCTCCTTCCACCATTTAGGAGCAGGACAGCAGAGAGTGGAGATCTAGTGGAGTGTTTTCCTCTCAGTGAGGAGGAACAAGCAGTTTATCACATGCAGAGCGGAGAGGTCAGAGGTCGGGATGTCGGGTTGGACCAGGTCCTGGATGTGAGCTGCAGATGCAGGAGCCCCTTGTGCACCTTTTCACCCCTCCTTGCGTGCGTCGACCCATTTTTCTAGACTAGCGTCAAAAGCTACGCGAGCATTGCGTCCGCCCGTAGTCATTAGTGAAAAGTCACTTTAATGACTTTCACACTTTGGAGGTTGACGCTGTGACGGTTTTATATACAGTTTATACTTCATATTATGAACAGAAATGGATCGGTGAGCTCAGGTAGACCAGTTATGAACCTGAAATATCACAAGTCAGTGATACAGAATAAATACACAAAAAACTGAACCTGCTTTGCTCCTTTGGTTTTGTTGTGTGATTATAAATGAACTTTACATTTAGTTGTGTTTTATGGAGCAGGAGGAAGCATCAAGCTGACGGAGAACGATGTGTGTGGTGACATTAAGCTGCTGTAGCGTGGACATAGTCTGTTATATTTTACAGTTTAAATAGTTCGTATCCTATGCAAGAAAAAAGAAAAGTCCCTGCATACAAGTTAATAAATGTGTTCTGTTGTTTTCTATTAACATTAATGGAATCTCCTCTGCCTTAAGATTGCAATATTACTTTTAGCTGAAAGTAATTCTAAATTAGTAAAGTATCATACATTAACTGATTTAATATGAATTTAAAATAACTGGAAAATGTTCTTCTCTCAGCCTGAAATATATGATGCTCTGGAGGAGAAGCGTATCTTCCTAAATTAAATGAAATACGAAGAGGTTTATCTGCTTTATCTCTACGTTATACGTTTTTCAGGTGTTAAGTTGTTTTTGTTGTTGCTAGGCAACGGGAGCAGCGGAAGTAGAGCTGATGACGCAGCCGGAAGTAACCCCCGTAGGACAGACAGACAAAGACCGCTCGGTTCAGCCTGTGCGGTTGCTGAAGGACCAGCCGAGGTCTACGAAGGCTACAAGGATGCAGCCTGGCGACTTTGAGCGTCTCCGCATTGGGTTTTGACAGAAGAGAGGAAGTGGTTTATACCAGACTAGGATTAGCTCATACAAGTCTTAATTCCAACGAGACTGAATCAAATATTTTGTTGTTTCTGAATGATTCAGGTCTAATGAAAAGAATCTAAGATATATTTTTATTATATTTTTGAAGTCCCGTCACACCCTCCTGTATAGTAGGTGGCGGTATACGCAATTATCGCAGTAACCCGCCAATAAGCAGCAGAAGAAGAAGAAGAAGAAGAAGCAGCAGCAGCAGAAGAAGAAGAAGAAGAAGAAGAAGAAGAAGAAGAAGAAGAAGAAGCAGCAGCAGCAGCAGAAGAAGAAGAGCTCTCACGGTGAGCTGAGCGGCGGGAGGTTCGCGCGTTTCCACCGATCGCCACTACTTTGTTTGTTGCTGTTGTTTTGATCGTTTACGCCAATCGGGACGGTTTACGGCGTGACGCGACACAGTGCGTCACAGGAAACACGTGCCCGCAGGGCAGCGGAGGACTGCACCGGTTTATAGTTCGTCAGGACCAGGGTCCTGACGAACTACGATCTATGGAGCCCTGCGAGGCGAGAAAGCACAACATCTGTGGGGAAGAAGCAGAATTAGTGGTGTGCATTAATAAACGTGGATCATTGTAGACTGACGAGAGTGAGATTAGTATAGTCTGTGTTATCATCCACCTGGTCGGTAGTGGATGGATGAGCGTCCCTCGTCCCGTGCTGTGGCGGTCAGCCTGTGTGACTCTGCCCCCTGCTGTGGCGGGGTGGATGACCTGCAGGCGGTGCGGTCTCAGGGTCTAGTGGGGGCCCTGCTAGGTTCACTGCCCCGGATCCCCCGACAGAACCTCAGACTGGGCCGACCGCTGCTGCTGCTGCCGGAGAGAGGAGAGAGCTTCTGACTGAGCGGCGGGCTGCTGCTGCTCTACCCGTCTACCAGGTGTGTGTGTGTGAACAAAGTTTACCCAGATTCATTCTAAAGAAGCGTCACAAGGTCTTCAGGTGAGTTTGGTTTGTTGTTGGCAGGATGGAGAGGGGGCGGAGCTTCGTCTGCAGGTCAAGCAGCACCTGGAGGACCAGAAAAGGAGCTATGAGGAGCAGAGCGTCCTTGCGCTGGAGGACAGGAAGGCAGCGCTGCTGCGAGCCATGACATCATCACATACAGGTGAGTCCTGGTCACCTTGAAGTCATTAGGTACAGGTGAGGCCGTTATGTCCGTCCCTGTATCTGCTCAAACAGTTGTGGTCCTCTCAGAGTCTGGCGATGAGGCTCTGCAGAGCCGGCTGGAGGCTCTGGACCGGAGCTTCACCTTTCCCAGTTCGGCGCTGGCAGTCCAGGTGAGCACGGCAAGGGCGGGACTGTCCTATCGCCCGGAGGCCCGGGCCACCCTGCACGCCAGCCGGCCACTCAGAGGGCAGGAAGAGTCGAGCTGCCACGCTGCCAGGTACCAGGTGTTCAGAGACCTGAGGGGGCGGGGCTTCTACTTGACTTCAGCCGGAAAATTTGGAGGACACTTCCTGGTTTATCCAGGTGACTATGGAGCTTTAAAGGAAACTTTTGTTAATACGAATAATAAAAACAAATACAAATATTTGTTCACTTTCTCTTGTTGACTGTAAGAAAATTTAAAAAAACATCTGGAGATCAAATTGTCAACAAATAAATAACCAGGTGAATTAATTTATTATTACGTTTTTTTCATTTGAAGCTCATGATTGGTCCCTTAAAGGGAATGTTGATGGACCAAAAGATAAGGATCCCTACGGTTTCTACCTTGTTTTTTCCTAGTTTATTTTTATTTTTTAGTAATTCCTCTGCTAATGTGAGGCCAATTTGTGATTTTGGGCGATATAAAATGAACTGAATTGACTCAGCTTCTGGTCCCTTATTGAGGACGTTGATGGAGCAAGTTCTTCTCTAACCCTCAGGTGACCCTCTTCGTTTCCACGCTCACTTCATCGCCGTCTGCCTGTCCCTGGAGGAGCCTGTCTGTCTTCTGGACCTCCTCGCTGTGGCCCGTCTGGGCTCCAATGTGAAGAAGACGGTCCTGCTCTGCTCGCCGGGGCCGGAGGGCCGGGTTCAGTACACCTCATTACAGTGGAGCGGGATGGTGTAGGGGACTAATCAATACTCAGACCGGATTTTTTTTTCACCCCAAGTCTTTAAGGATCCGAAGAAGAAACCGCATGACCTCACGAAATAAAGACCTGGACCTGATTAACCCGGAGTCCGTCGTTTGTTCTGTCCTAAAAGAATAAAAGTAGTAATGTCTCATGAAGAAGCACAGGACCCGGGATCAGGTGAGGAATCTTTAATACACACAGTGAATCAGGTGGTCACAGACCCCCTCCCCTTCTGGTCCCTAGGGGTCCAGACTGGATCAGGTGCGTCAGGACTAGACTCTTAAGATTGGCCTAAAAACCTCTGGATTCAGACTGTGACCCATTTCTTTTATATTATTATAGTTTATTTTGACCAGGTTTTAATGACTGTATTCTGGTTTGTTAAATACATTCATCATAAATATTCAAAGATTATATAATAGTGCTTAATTTATTAGGGATTCACGCCTCGATATCCCGTCCAGTCGATGGCGGCCCCGTCCCATTTGGTCCTGATGGTCATCTCCAGAGACCGGTTCTCCTCTGAGCGCCTAACGGGGGCCTCCCAGTGGTGAGGGTGAGTATCTGCAACAGAGAGCGGCGAGCTGGTCAGACCCAGAGCAGCCCCCCTCCCCCCAAAGGGGACCCCGGTCCTCACCCACAGTCAGCTGGGTCGTGGTCCCCTGGCAGCTCTGCCCGCTGAAGTAGAAAAGATGGAACCGGTGTTCCATCCTCCAATCAGAGAGCAGCGAGCGCTTCAGCCCGAACAGCACAGAGAAACTGCTGTTGATGCAGCAGATCCACACGGGGTACCGGGGGGTCTTCAACATGCTGCCCACCTGAGGACGGGGGGAGGGAGGACAGACCGTCTATACTGTATCTCAGAGTAAGTGCTGTACTTTCGTCTGACACTAGTTTATTTACACATTCAGATTATTAATCAACTTAATAAATTAAGTCCATCCATCTTCAGCCGCTTATCCGGGGTCGGGTCGCGGGGGCAACAGCTCCAGCAGGGGACCCAAACTCCCCTTTCCCACATCTACCAGCTCTGACTGAGCTAGCAGCTCCAGCCTGGATCGCCTCCCTCACCAGACCAGACCACCTCAACTGGCTCCTTTCGACCCAAAGGAGCAGCGGCTCTACTCCGAGCTCCTCGCCCGCTCCCTAAGGGAGACGCCAGCCACTCTCCTGAGGAAACCCATTTGGGCCGCTTGTACCCGTGACCTAGTTCTTTGGGTCATGACCCGTCCTTCATGACCACAGGTGAGGGTAGGAACGGAGGATTGACGGGTAGATCGAGAGCTTTGCCTTCCGGCTCAGCTCTCTTTAACTGTAGACCCTCCTCAACTGCAGAAGGCGTATGACCAGGTCCCCCCAGAGATAATGTGGGAGGCGCTGCGGGAGTACGGGGTGAGGGAGTCCCAACTTGGGGCCTTTTTGGTCGGGTCGGCCTTCGCCAGGGCGGCACCTTGTCACCAGTCCCGTTTGTGGTTTTCATGGACGGGATATCGAGGCGTGAATCCCTAATAAATGAAGCACTATTATATAATCTATGAATATTTATGATGAATGTATTTAACAAACTGAGTGCAGCAGAGCCAGAATACAGTCATTAAAACCTGGTCAAAAATAACTATAATAATATAAAAGAAATGGGTCACAGTCTGAATCCAGAGGTTTTTAGGCCAAAGTGTTGCGTTTACGTGCTGAGGGAGACACATCTGCGTAGTATTTCACTATGCAAGATGAGTACTTTTGGTACTTAATACGGGAGACTGAAGTACCTGTGGGAGTCGTCCTCCTTCCATCTGCTCCCGGCTCCAGTGGAGATATCCAACATCTCCTCGGGACAGGAGGCCCTGCAGGGGATGCTCCAGAGGATGTCCGTCCTCCCCAAGGGACCGAGTCCCGTTGAAGACATTCGGACTGGCCTTTCCTGTCAACAGCAGGTTCAGCAAGGCCTGCAGAGACCGAGCAGGAGGGCACCTGTAGATCCAGGACCAACAGGGCCTTGAGGAGAACCAGTAGTGTGTCCTACAGCAGGGGAGTTCTCACCTGACGGCATACAAAGTTTCCCACCCTGAGGTACAGCAGGTGGGAGGTGGTGGAGTCCAGGTCCTCCTTCAGCCTGTGAGAAAGAGGCCAGACTATCTTCATCATCTCTGAAAATGAACTGACGGTTTAAGTTTATTGTTCAAAGTTTGTTCTTTTAGGATTTTACAGATTTTTTTTTTTTCTACCTCTGTCCTATCAGCTGGAAGACACCTGATAAGTGAGAGGGCTTCTCACCTGTTGACTGTCCGGGAACAAATAAGGCTGTACAGGAACAGGATGACTCCATGACTCCCCTCCTCTGTGAGATTCATCATCATCATCATCATTTTCGTCATCATCGTCTTTACGATCACTTTGGTACATATTGATTATTGAGCCAGCTGGAAGAAGAAAGAGGATGGACTCACACACTGAAAGTGATCCAGGATGAAGTTCTCCACATCTTCCTTTGCGTTAAACGTAAAAAGCTGCAACTGAAGGAAGTTTCAAAAGTTTCAACTCTTGTTTCAATGTTTAAAATGATACAACTCTTTGTTAATTGTCAAATTTAAAAAAGACTAATGCTATATGGGAAGACCCAAAATAAATGCTACAGTACTAATGACCTCACTGAGACTCTCTGCAGTGGCGGCTGGTCCATAGAGGCCAATGGGGCCCTCTGGACCCTCCATGGACTTTACAAGTTATATTAAAAATGCATTTTACAAATGTAATGTAAATGTAAGTATGTTTCTATTTGTGTTTGAAACATGGAACATAGATAGTAATACTTGTGAATTAAGATATCTGCGCAAAATGTATGCTTTTCCTGCAGGTCCTCTGTGTCCGCTTGTCCCAGTTGATCACTGATCCGGACCATGAGGGACATTTAATACTACATAACACGAGCGACCACCGGCAGAGTCCTTCAAGAAGACCCGACCCGAACTCTGTACGAGACAAGAACAGCTGGACCAGATCAGCCGCAGATAAATGACGCTTATATATATATACATGTAGTGTATATATATATATTATATAATATATATACATATATATATATATATATATTCATTAACATACTGAATTGTATGAATAAGATGTCCTTTTTATGTTTGGAATAAATGTTAAATATATAACTGCAAAGTTGCGTGTTTGATTTTTTTGCATTGAATCATACTGAGATGTTTACTGATGCTGATTGGCTGGCCCACTGATGACATCACTCAGGTACCCTCTCTGTGAAGTTGTCCAGCTTGTAGTCCAGGTGAGGTGTGATGGAGTATTCTTGGGTTACCAAGGTGACGGTGGCTTCGCTTTCTTGGCCAGCCAACCAGAGGCTGTCGGCCAGCACCGTTGCCAAAGCTCCGTTCTGCTCCTTCTGTCCGACGGTGAGACTGAGAAAGAGGGTGGACCAAATAACAGCTGTAACCCTGATGACGGTAACAGGAGGTGAGACGAGTACTGTTTCCCACTCTGGTTTCTCTGAGGTCATAACAGAGTCGTGTTATTATTCATGTTGTAACTATGACGAGGCGGCGCTCTAATGACGCATTGCTGCTGTGCTGCTGCTCTTTCTTGACCTCTTGCGTAACGGTTGTGTTTTCTGTGTGACATCCTCCCGGCTACCTGTGGGAGGTATCGCCTTTATTCAGCATTAGGTTATGTGATGATGGAGGAGTTCTCACCTGTGCAGCGTCTGTCCGTCCGAAGCGCTCTGCCGAAGGAACAGCAGGTGTTTAATGATCCGGGCCTGGATCACCATCTGAATGGCTTGAGCCCCGCCCTGAAACATACACCTGACCAGGTGAGACCTCCCCTGAGGGGCTGACACCACCACAACAGCTGCACCACGGCAGTAGAACCTCACGCTGTCGGTCTTCAGAGCGTAAGAAACCTCAGAGTCCGGCTCTCTGAACTGAAAGAAGGATTTCCTCCACTCGTAATTGAAGACATGAAACGTTCCACCGAGCAGAATCTTCCTCAGACTCTAAACGTTGGGAACAAGCAGAGAGAGGAAGTCTGAGCCAGGAGACCTGATCTCTCCTGATTGGAGCTCACTGGTCCTGATCGTCTCACCTCGGTCAGCTGGGGGGTCACCGGGGTTCCTCCAAGGTCTGGAGAGACCACCAGATTTAGTGGGATGGGGCAGAGGTTTGGGAGAGTCCTGCAGGGGGGAGGATGCTCTTCTTGCTCCTCCACCTTCCCCACGTCCACCAGCCTTTGAGGCACACACACACACACATACACATATATATGTGTGTGTGTGTGTGTGTGTGTGTGTGTGTATCCAGGATTCAATAAGTTCAGAAGAGTCTTAGCCCCGCCCCCAAATGCTCTCATTAGCTGGGACGTGCGATGACGCTCCTCCCAATACAACCGATAACGTGTTAATGTGCCCAGCACTAAAATACAGTATACAGATATTTAAAATAACTTTTAACTTTTGTTGATCTTTATACATCATGTTATAAATAACTATATTTTTCTGTAAAATGTAATACAACAAATGAATTGTTTTATTTAAACTTTCCTGCAGCTCCGCAGGTCAGACACCTGATCCAGAATCTGTTGTAGTTCCCCCTCCATCTGATCACACACACACACACACACAAGTTAGGCACACACACACACAGACACACACACACAGACAGACACACACAGACACACATACAAACACATTTACACACTCATACCAACACTCAGACTCATATACGCACAGACACAAAGGAATAACTGTAGATATATAATAATAATAGTAATATTTCATTATTCATTAAATCTAGTCAGAGATGTCAAATATAAGTAAATATATTATCATTAAATAGTATTATTATTTACATCATCACTTATTTTTATCACAAACATTCAATTTCTCAATGAGACTTTAAATGAATGTTTATTTTATATCATCAACTCTCTGATCTGAAAAAGGAGGAAGACTATTGAATATTATATTATTGAACATTAAAATATTAAAGTGCAGCAGCAGATCTGAGATCAGATTACTACTATTTGTTTTTTTCAGTTTACAGTATTCAAAGTCTAAATGTTTTAGAAAGAAAAGAAGCTCTTACCTTCACTTGAGTGACACTTCACTGGAGAGCCGACGCTGTAATGCACACACACACACACACACACACACACACACACACACACACACATATATATACACGCTGAGACACACACACACACACACACACACACACACATATATATATACGCTGAGACACACACACACACACACACACACACACACACACACACACACACACACATATATATACACGCAGAGACACACACACACACACACACACACATATATACATGCAGAGAGGGACACACACACACACACACACACACACACACACACAGATACACACAGAGACACATCTTCCACTCACACACACGCACAAACATACATTATTCACACTGCAATACAAACACACACAAACACTCAAAAATCTAAAACATTCTTTAATTTTCATAATTTATTAAAGTACTTTCAGTAAAATGTAATTAATATAAAAACAGATTTTCACTATGACTTGCAAATAATATGAAGTTCTACCTTGAAATGAATCACATTCATAACGCTAAACAACCTTAATAACACAATTAGCATTAATAACACATGTTAATATTAATAACACAAATAACATAATTTAATTCATCAGCAGAAAAGAAAACTAAACACATTTTGTTATATAGACTTTTACATTAAATAGATTATAAACCAAGAATTATTAAGTTCATTATTATATAATGTTAATATATGTGTGTGTGTGTATACACACACACACACACACAGAGGGAGTATTGTCGTGGTCTTTGAGGACCTGAAGGTCCAGCAGAGTCTCTGTCTGCCAACACGCGGATCCGATCCGATCCTTTAATTGTCTGTTTCTATTGAACAAGACGCCTCCCCGACGTTGGGCCGCTCGCTCACGATGATCCGTGTCTCCATCAGACCGGATCCTTTAAATCATTGTCTCGTGTCAACACGTCTACAGTGTCGGTGTCACTGCGGGAGACAAGATAAAGACCTGGACCCTTCAGACGGCTTCAAAGAGGAGACGAGCTGCTGTTGCGTAACTCACTAGCTGCTATCGGCTTAGACTGCCGGGGGACTTCTGATGACACACCGAGCTCCTCTCTCACGCTCTCGTTCTACCATAATCCACGTTATATTAATGCACATGACTAATTCAGCTTCTTTCCGGGAGTTTTTTGTGCTTTCTCCCGTATCAGGTCTCCGTAGATCGTGGTTCCTTCTGGACCCTGGTCCTGACACCTACCGTGGCCATGCTGACGCCTGCTGCTGCCATCATCATCATCATCATCATCATCATTATTATCATCATTATTTTAGATATTAATCATATTACTGTACTCGTAAACCAACATTACCCTCTCCTTAAGTCTCTGTGCTCTCCCTCCCCACAGGCTTCTGTGGATGGTGGTTCTATCTGATGGTGCTTCTATGTGATGGTGGTTCTATCTGATGGTGCTTCTATGTGATGGTGGTTCTATCTGATGGTGGTTCTATGTGATGGTGGTTCTATCTGATGGTGCTTCTATGTGATGGTGGTTCTATCTGATGGTGGTTCTATGTGATGGTGGTTCTATGTGATGGTGGTTCTATCTGATGGTGGTTCTATCTGATGGTGCTTCTATGTGATGGTGGTTCTATCTGATAGTGGTTCTATGTGATGGTGGTTGTATGTGATGGTGGTTCTATGTGATGGTGGTTCTATGTGATGGTGGTTGTATGTGATGGTGGTTCTATGTGATGGTGGTTGTATGTGATGGTGGTTGTATGTGATGGTGGTTCTATGTGATGATGGTTCTATCTGATGGTGCTTCTATGTGATGGTGCTTCTATGTGATGGTGGTTCTATGTGATGGTGGTTCTATGTGATGGTGGTTGTATGTGATGGTGGTTCTATGTGATGGTGGTTCTATGTGATGGTGGTTCTATCGGATGGTGGTTCTATGTGATGATGGTTCTATCTGATGGTGGTTCTATGTGATGGTGGTTCTATCTGATGGTGGTTGTATGTGATGGTGCTTCTATCTGATGGTGCTTCTATGTGATGGTGGTTCTATCTGATAGTGGTTCTATGTGATGGTGGTTGTATGTGATGGTGGTTCTATGTGATGGTGGTTGTATGTGATGGTGGTTCTATGTGATGGTGGTTGTATGTGATGGTGGTTGTATGTGATGGTGGTTCTATGTGATGATGGTTCTATCTGATGGTGCTTCTATGTGATGGTGCTTCTATGTGATGGTGGTTCTATGTGATGGTGGTTCTATGTGATGGTGGTTGTATGTGATGGTGGTTCTATGTGATGGTGGTTGTATGTGATGGTGGTTCTATGTGATGGTGGTTCTATGTGATGGTGGTTCTATCGGATGGTGGTTCGATGTGATGATGGTTCTATCTGATGGTGGTTCTATGTGATGGTGGTTCTATCTGATGGTGGTTGTATGTGATGGTGCTTCTATGTGATGGTGGTTCTATGTGATGGTGGTTCTATGTGATGGTGGTTCTATGTGATGGTGGTTCTATGTGATGGTGGTTCTATGTGATGGTGGTTCTATGTGATGGTGGTGGTCCCTGCAGTGGTCCTGCTGTGCGTCTGGTTTACTACTCACAGTTACTTGAATCATCTCTGTCATATAGTCTCATGTATTATACATTGTTCATTCTGTCCTCATGACATCATTGTAGTCGTCCATCAGGAGACGGATCCTCCTCTGACGTTCTCCTTAAGGTTTCTTACCTTTTTTCCCTCTTGGAAGGGTTTTTTCATTGTTGGGGAGTTGTTCCTGTGCCGATGGAGGGTTTCTGGACAGAGGATGTTGTATGTGTACAGACTGTAAAGCCCTCTGAGGCAAATTTGTAATTTGCAATTTTGGCCTCTACAAAAATATTATACTATTAGATTATGAGTTCATTAATGTTAGGTAGGGAATTAACTAACATTGATTCCTGTGTTGAATAAAAGTCTTTCCTCCCCACAGGCTTCTGTGGATGGTGGTTCTATCTGATGGTGGTTCTGTGGATGGTGGTTCTATCTGATGGTGGTTCTGTGGATGGTGGTTCTATCTGATGGTGGTTCTGTGGATGGTGGTTCTATCTGATGGTGGTTCTGTGGATGGTGGTTCTATCTGATGGTGCTTTCTTCTCTTTTTTCCCCATCAAAGGTTATTCCATTTTTTGGGGAGTTTTTCCGGTGCCGATGTGAGGCACAGGAAAAACAGTCTGTAACAGTCTGTAAAGCCCTCTGAGGCAAATTTGTACCCATTTTACCCACTTAACACTTTAACCATTAAATCAACAACATTGTAATTGTTTGATAACTCACTAGCTAACATCAGTTTGATTATAAATGTTAGTTAACTCACTAGGTAACGTTAGTTAAACCACTAGCTAACATTACCTTGGTTATAATTGTTAGTTAACACATAATGTTACCCGATGCTAACATTAGTTAATGACAGTTATTGGAGTTTATCGCTATGCAGAGTCTTGAGTTAATGGTGGTTCTTCAGCCTTTTGTCCTTCAGAGGCTTCCGTCTTCCGTCTCTCAGTACATGAGGTCTGCGGCCCCCCCGCTGGGGGCCGACTCCTTGCCCCCCCGGAAAGGGAACTGGACTCCAGCCAGTCGGATGAGCGAGAAGTTGAGTCCGTGCAGGAGGAAGACGAGGAAGAAGAGCCAGAAGCAGAGGTCATAGCGCTGAGTGTAGGTCTGGAAGACGAAGTTCACCTCGTTGAAGTTGGCAATCCGATGAGAGAGATGATGGATGTTGACCTCCGATGCAAAGAGAACCATCACCAGACAACTGCTCAGCCCTGAAGCACAGACAGGACGCTGTGTTAACAAGGGTTCTGATGCTGATGTTGTTATTCCACTAGTATAAATGTTATACTAGACTAAATTTTCAACTAGTATAGATGTTATGGCTTGCACTAAAATAAAGGCAATTCTAGCGTTGAGAGGATACTAGTGGTGTTCTCAGTAGATAGGATGGGGTAGCTGTTTCAGGTCTCCTGCCTCGGACAGCTCACACTATCTTCTTCTATAACATTACATTAAAGGTCATTTAGCAGACGCTTTTATCCAAAGCGACTAACATTACACTTTAAACCCACATTTTGCCCGGGGAGCAATTAGGGGTCAGGTGTCTTGCTCAGGGACACTTCGACTTGAGACATGGGGCAGCCCGGACTCAAACCACCAACCTTGCGGTCCCAGCACACCCGCTCTACCCCCTGCGCCACAACGACCCCCTGAACATTCAAACCTCATCGTGAACCTCCCTCGAGTTTGGCTGTTGTCCCAGAATGCATTGCGTAACCTGACGTTAGCTCATTACAACAGTTAAGTCTAAACTGATTGTCTTCATCAGGTTATAAACTAAGTATTTAAAGTGCTTGATTAAAGCACTGAAGACATGCTTGAGCATGACACGTGAGTATGAGTCACAACACCTTAAACTGGTACTAAGTACTACTTATACTACTGGTATCAGTGGTGGTACTAGTACCACGTGATGTCTCACAGCTGATGAAGCTCCACAGGTAAAGTCCCAGGGGGCCTTGCAGCGTCTCGTACGGTCGGCCGAAGGCGTTGAAGAAAAAGAAGCCGGTGACCACTGAGGAGAAGAGTATGACGACACCACAGAAGAAGATGACGAACACGTGGAGGACCACCGGGATGGCGCTCAGCAGGTCTGGGAAGACTGGGAGAGAATGTGAACATGAATATATGAAAATTTAAAGAGGCTTTTCTTTTGCTGCTTTATTAACGAACAAAGAGAACAGCAGAAGGCATGATGCCCTCTCTCTGGTGGGGTATGTTGGTCCTGTGAAAAATGATGTATACTAATGATGCTTTGAAAATGATTTAATTCTATCAGTTTACAAAAACAAAGTGAGCGAACGGTGGTTCTATCTGATGGTGGTTGTCCCTGCAGTGGTCCTGCCGTGCACCCGGCTTAGTACTCTCAAAATTGTTGTATGAAATTAATTGATTCCCACACCTTTTCATGAACATCCGGGGGAAAAACTCCAGCGGAGTTATTTCCAACATTTCTTCCTCCTTCTGTAGAATTACTGGACATCCTAGTCAAAGGTGTGCTCGCCGTAGGAAAGGAAAACAGGCCAGCAGGTGGGTGCAACTCCGCAAGAGTGGTTCTCGCACACCGCTGCCAGACATCTTTCTTGCCTGCTTCAAGGCCTCCACCATCATCCCTGTCCCCAAGAAGCCCAGGATCACAGGACTCAATGACTACAGGCCCGTCGCCCTGACCTCTGTAGTCATGAAGTCTTTTGAACGGCTAGTCCTGACCCACCTGAAAGTCCCTCACCGACCCCCTCCTGGGGTCCGTTTCAAGAAGCCGGTTTAGAAGAAAAAAAAACTAGAGAGTTTGTTAACCCTGAGATCCTTCAGCCATACATCCAGACCACTGGCAGGGAGTTTTCTCTTTACCCTTTTTCATCTTCCACCCCACTGTCTTTCAAATTCCATGCTATAACAGTTACTCACCCGGTGAAATTAAAAAGTTTACCGTCCGCCAGGCTCCTTGGGTCATTTCTTGGAAGAACTGGACATTCTCCTGTCCAACTTCCCTGAAAATGTCCCTCAGCTCATCCTCCTGGGTGACTTCAATATCCAGACAGAAGTTATCTGACCTCTTACACCTACTTTCTTCTTTCGCTCTGTCACTCAGTCCCTCTCCTCCTACTCACAAACTCACAAAGCCGGCAATCACCTCGACTACATCTTCACCAGAAACTTCTCTACCACTAACCTCTCTGTAACTCCACTTCATGTGTCTGACCACTTCATCATCTCTTACTCTCTATAACTAACCACCCATCAACTGAGTCTCTACCTGTTCGTCTCAACATTCACTCCTCTCTCCCTCCTCTCTGGCCTCCTCTGTTCTATCAGCTCTCCCTTCAACTGTGAAGGGAACTGTGAAGTTCAGCATCAGCTGTGAGCATCAGAAAGGAAATATAAACAACCTGAGGACCTGCTTGCGTTTCAATCTCTTCTCTACTCGTTTTCTGCTTCTATCTCTGCTGCCAAAAACTCTTTCTACCAATCCAGAATTGAACCTTCATTTTCTAACCCCGAAAATGTCACGGTTTGGGTTCAGGTCCTGTCTTATTTGTAGTTTTCTGCCACTCGTGTCCCCGGGTAACTTCACTTCCTGCCTTGTCCTGTCATCCCCTGTGATTGTCTGATTGTTTCCACCTGTGTCCAATCACCTGCACCTCCCTAGTGTATTTAAGTTGTGTGTGTCTCTTGTCACTTGTCGCGTCATTGTCGAATGTCCTGGATGTCCCTAGTTTCTGCCTGCCTTTTTGCCCTGGTTCCTGTGAGTGTTTTTGCCCCTTGGCCTTTTGTTTCTGCCTTTTGACTATTAAAGTCTTTTGTTTTCTAAGACATCTGCATTTGAGTCCTGCCTTCCCATGCATTCCGTGACAAAAAAACTCTTTTCTATCTTCTCCAACCTCCTCTAACCCCCTAGTCCTCCTCCCCCCTCACCCTTCTTCTGGGAGACTTCGTCAACTACTTTACCAAGAAAATAGCTGACATACGCTCCTCTTTCTCAAACCCACCTCCTACTACTTGCATCGCACTGGCTTCCTCCTTGACCCCCACCAGTCAGGCTTCAAGGCCGTTCCACAGAGACTGCTCTCCTTGCTGTCTCAGAGCAACTCCACACTGCTAGAGCCGCCTCTCTCTCCTCTGCCCTCATCCTTCTGATCCTGATCAGGAATCAGGAATCAGGAAACATTTATTGCCAAAATATGTCAAACATACAAGGAATTTGTCTTGGCGGTTGGTGCGTGACAGTGTAACAGTGTAACAACGATAACGATCCTTCCTCAGCCCAGCCACAGCCCAGGACAAGGGCAGGCTGTCTTGGTGATTGTCTTACTGTCTGATGTTATGCACCAACTGTCCAATTCCTTGTATGTCTAACATATTTGGTAAAAAATGTTCCTGATTCCCCCATTGGTTGGTCGTCAATAGGGTGTGGGGGGGAGTAGTAGTCAGGTAACCAAATGGAACAACAATGCTCCATACCGAGAGCGCAAATGAAAATTGATATAAAAAACCCATTGTGCCTCTTATCCGTCAGAAGCGAGGGAACCGCCACAACCATTCCATTCCATTCTTTACTCGTTACCTTACTTAAATGACACTGATTCCACTACCTTTTTTTTACGTTTGCTCCCGCGGGCAACCGCGCCTGCATGGTGAGATCGTTGAGTAGCGGCGGTCAGCCAAGGATGAAAACACATGAAGATTATTTCCTCTCACTGCACTTTGTTAATTGAGGTAAAGAAACATTTTTTAGTCATTTTTTAAAGCATTTTTAGTTAACAGAATATTTTCACACCTCCCTACAATTTTTACACAGTACTGTTTACGTTCGTGCGTATATGTACCTATATACCACATCCAAACTGAGTGCACATTTACTCACCCCCCCCCCCTCCACATGTAGCCGATGAATCATGTTCATACATCAAGAACTGAGCTGCACTGTTTGTCTGTTCTGACGCAGTCAGGCAGAAAACTGGTTAGTGAAGGCTGACTGCTCTCGTTAACTGGGACCAGTAAACACTCTGAGCTCTGCTCTCTGGTCTGTGGTCACAATGTCACATGGTCACGTCTAAGGCTTGACAGCACCTGCCCACCAGCTAAACGTGGGTAGAATTCGGCTGTGGCGGGTAAAGCAGTTTCTCTCACTCAATATCCATTCAATATCTCTCTCTGTTTTGTATTGTAGTGTAATGGCGGTTATTAATGTGTGATGAGTGAAAAAACTCGCTCGGTCACATTGGTGGCAGCGGTGGTTCATGTAAACCGACTACGGAGGACCTCAACGTGAGTGTGCACTTCCTTAGTTAGCCTAACCGTCCCAGTTTGGCTAGCAGGCTAAATCCGCTTCAGAGAATTAAGCGCTGCTAGTTTAAGACGTTATTGGAGATAGACCCGTTTAACAGCTCAGGGCTGTTCGGCAGACGGTCGGCCAGCAAAGATCTGGACCTGCCTGCTCTATTTTCCAAAATAATAAACTCATTGCAGGGCCTCACGTCCCACGGTCATATGCTCACAACATCACGTCACATGGTCTCCACATCACATCAACACTACCTCACATGTCTTATGGTAAACATCACATGGAGGCAATGTCAGATGGTGACAACGTTACATTTTCACATGATCACAAGGTCACAACGCCACTTGGTTATAACACAACATGGACACAACGTCAATCTGTGATATGGTTTCAACTTCACTTGGTCACAAAGTCACAACATCACATGGACACAACGTCACATCAACTCAGTCACTTGGTCAGGGGTTAGGGGTTAAACGTTACATGGTCACAACGGCGCATGGACAGAACATTACTAGGTCACAACGTCATTGTGCCATATGGTCACAACTTTACTTCACAAAATCACACGGTGATGTGGACGTCACATCAACACAATGTCACTAGGTTACGTGATCACGATGTCACATGGTCACGTCACAATGTCCCAACATCACATGGACACAACGTACATACACAGACACAACGACACGTAGAGCGTTAAGAACGTTACATGGTCACAACATGAACAGAAGAGCTGTAATTAAACCTCTTGCTCCAGACGTGTTGGGCTGTCACTTCCCCTGATCTCTAAGATCCTTGAGAAATGAGCATCTTCATGATTTTAAATGGCCCAGTAAAAGCCCACCCCTCAATCCCACTGAGAATCCATGGCAAGATTTGGAAATGGCTGTTCAGATGGTCTCATCCAATCTGACTGAACCGTTTTGGTATTTTGTACCTTTAAAGTACTATGCATGTCGTGTTCATTTAAGTAAGTTCTATTTCAATTCCAGTTTGTAACACTAAAAAGTCCAAGGGGGGTGGAATACTATAGCAGAAGCGGCACAGGCAGGAGAAGCCTTATTATATATCCTTATATATATAAATATAGTGTATATATATAATAAGGCTATATATATATTATATATATATAATAAGGCTATATATATATTATATATATATAATAAGGCTCATATATATATATATATATATATATATATATATATAATATATATGTATATGTATATATATGTATACTCACAGGAGAAGCGCGACGGCCTGCCCCCCAGCCCGCACTGCTTCACCCTCTGGCCGTGGAACAGGCCGTAGTTCAGCTCTCCCAGGAACTTGTCCAGTTCGGCTCCGGTGGCGTTCACCAGCTCGGCCCCGGTCCGGCACAGGACGGCCCCGGTGACCCAGAACGGGAGCCCGGTGGCGACGGCAGCCATCAGGGCACACGAGAAGCCGAGGACCCCGGAGACCGAAAACAAAATCTGCTTCTGACGGTTCGGCATGACGGGAGGAGGCGAGGGGGGGTCACAGGACAGCCGCGGAACCAGCATCATAACGGTCAGACGGAAGCCTGCAGCCCAGCGTTTACGTCACCATGGCAACGAGCAGACGCGTTCAGGCCGGGGGGGTACACGGACCTCCGGGGGGGCGGTACACGGACCTCCGGGGGGGGGGGGGGGCCCGGACCCCCGGACCCCCCTTCAAAGAAGAAACATTGGGAGCCAAAACAACGTTAATGTTTAATTACTTCTCACAGTAAGTACCAACTGTTACTGAAGTAGTACTAGCGGTGTTACTCCGCCCCTCCCCGCTCACTGGACGTGATGACGCAGCGACACGTCACAGGGAGACGTCACACGTAAAGCTGCCGAGGCGCCGTGAGTCCGGACCAGTTGCACAGAGACCAGCTGCAGAACGAGGTCAGTGCATCGATCTATTCCTAATTCATTCAATTGATCCGTTACTAATCAGTTGTATAGATTTATTATTGTTCATGTATTTATCTGTCCAACAATAGCGGATGTATAATGTGTGTGTTCATGTTTAGTTCAGCTGTTTCATTGTAGAGGAAAGTTATTATAATCTATTCTAATTATTTATAACTCATTATTATTCATTATAATAGCGATATTAATAACCTGTTATTGATCAGGATGCTCTTAGTGCTGCTGCTCTCCCTGGCTGTCGATGGCCAGATGTTTGGCACCCTGAAGTCTCCAGACTTCCCTGATCCTTATCCCAGAGACACGGTTCTCCGCTGGAACCTCAGCGTTCCCGATGGCTTCCGCATCAAACTCTACTTCAGCCACTTCCACCTGGAGCCGTCCTACTTGTGTGAATACGACTACGTCAAGGTGAGACCCCGCGGCATCATGGGTAGGATTGTATGGCTATTTTGGATCCGGGTTCTGGATCAGGCTCTTAGATCAGGATTCTGGACCAGGAGCTTGGATCAGGATCCTGATTTAGGGTTCTGGATTAGGGTTCTGGATTAGGGTTCTAGATCAGGGTCTTACGATCAGGGTCTTTGATCAGGGTCCTAAATCCTGGTTCTGGAACAAGGTCTTGATCAGGAATCTGAATCAGGGCTCTGGATTAGGATCTGCTCTGTGTGTGTGTGTGTTCAATCTGCTGTAAACCTCTTCTGTTACTGATGAGTATAGTAATTATAATAATAATAATATTGTTATTAATAGAAATAATAATAACATTCTGTGTATTATTCAAGGTAATAATTCTGGGTATTATTATTTATTAGTTTACTTTGTATCATATATAATATAAACAGATCAGTTTGCACTTCATTTATGTAAACTAAGCTCCATTAGCTTGCCCATCTGGGTTGGCGAGCCTGCTTTCTAAGCTAACCTAGCTACGTTAGCCAACTTAACTCCATTAGCTAACTTACCTGTGTTCGACCCACGAGAGGTAACGATATCTCACCTGGTGCAATTCATCAGGTGCTTTGAATACCAGGGGTCCGTTTGAAGTAGCAGGTTTAACAAACTCTGAGTCAAACCCTAAACTCTGACTTGATTTACCCTGAGACGAGTATGAACCCGTAATTAGAAAGAAAAGCAACACGCTGCTGCAACAAAAGACAGAGAAACGGCGTAAGTTCCAATATAGTGTTGTCAGTTAATATTTAATATACACACTAATCATAATACATACGTTTAACTAATTCCCAGTTCTTACTCTGCTTGTTAGAATGTACTACACACAGGCTTGAAATACACACACGCTCATATTTAATCACAAGAACAATATCGCTGGTAAAAAGTGGTACGATGGTGTTTCAATGGCTTCTTCATCAGGATCGTCCAGAAAAGGACGCGACATGTTCCAGAAAACACTTTAGTCTTTAACGTAACATCTTATTTAGTTCATATGTGTAAACTGATACAGAGTGAATGAATGAATGAGGAAAGGAAAGCGCGCTGTGTGATTGGCTGGACTGCTGTCAGAGGGAGGAGCCTGTGGAAGGAGAAAGAAAACCTGCTCCCGACCAGGTGATGTTCACAGGCTCAGTTACCATGGTGACTGAGCCTGAGCTTTAGTTACCATGGTGACTGAGCCTGAGCTTTAGTTACCATGGTGACCTAGCCTGAGCTTTAGTTACCATGGTGACTGAGCCTGAGCTTTAGTTACCATGGTGACTGAGCCTGAGCTTTAGTTACCATGGTGACCTAGCCTGAGCTTTAGTTACCATGGTGACGGAGCCTGAGCTTTAGTTACCATGGTGACGGAGCCTGAGCTTTAGTTACCATGGTGACTGATCCTGAGCTTCAGTTACCATGGTGACTGAGCCTGAGCTTTAGTTACCATGGTGACTGAGCCTGAGCTTTAGTTACCATGGTGACCTAGCCTGAGCTTTAGTTACCATGGTGACGGAGCCTGAGCTTTAGTTACCTCCCTTTGTGAAACAAGCCAGAGTTTCCCTCGTCTCAGGGTGAACAAACTCTGAGTTTACACTAAACCCGCTTCTTGAAACGGACCCCTGGTGCTCTGTGTGCAGGTGGAGGCCGAAGAGGAGGTGCTGGCTTTGTTTTGTGGGGGGGAGGAGACAGACACAGAGGCAGTACCGGATCAGAAGATCATCACCTCCTCCAGAAATTCCATGAGCCTCCTCTTCTCCTCTGACTTCTCCAACGAGGAGCGCTACTCTGGCTTCATGGCTCACTACAGCGCTGTGGGTGAGCATCATAGGACTGCCGTTACACTGGTCACTTCTGACAGGAAGTGAAGCCCAGCAGCTGGTTCCTCTGTGTTTATGAGTCATGTTATCTCCAGATAAGACCAGCCAATCAGACACGTCCTCCCACAGGATCAACAGTAAACATGTCTCTGTCTCCTCAGACGTGGACGAGTGCAGTGAGCGGACTGACGAAGACCTCCTGTGTGACCACCTCTGTCACAACTACATCGGGGGGTACTACTGCTCCTGTCGCCATGGTTACCTGCTGCACTTTGACAACCACACCTGTCGAGGTGAGGCTTTGTCCCATAACATCGAAGTCTTTCCAGGTGTCTGGACCAGGACCTGTGGGTACCCAAGTGACTTAAGCGTTTACTCCAGTTCACGTCTTACCTGGTGATGCTGAACGGAGCAGGTGGTGATGATGCTGTGTGAGTGGATCAGTAGGATGTGACTGTGTGTGGCAGCTTTTTAGATACAAAGAGACCTCAACTCTGAGGTTCAGGTTCAGTTCAGGTCTTGAGAAATATTTTGAACACTGATACCACACACATCAACCATTCAGACATTTACATCAAAATACATTTATATTCTAATGTAATTATACAAACAAATTGTTATATTAATTCAACTTTAACTAACCCAAATAACATAACAGTATACTGAGATATTATAACATGCACTAAGTAACCAGTAAATGTGTGTCTCTCTGACCCTTGACCTACTGATAGCAGCTGCCGATTGGTGCTAAATATTTACATGTTTCTGTGTGGAGGAGTTGTTGTCTCTTATGACCCTAATTAACTTGTTCAAACTGTTTCTGTGAAGGCAGCCAGTCAGGAACGCACACACACTCACTCAATAGACTGAGCAAATGGCTCTTTATTCGCTTTTTATTTTACAACCCACAAGTGTTCTTCACAGAACTGTACATCTGTTATTCATTCCTCAGATCAGAAAATGAATAACAAAGAGTAGAATTACATTAGAATAAAACCATGTCCAGCCATTCCAAAAGATTTGATCATTTAAAAAACAGATGTGAATCTGTTTTGGTCTTGAACATTGAAAAATACTACAATGTATTCAAATCACTCATGATTACACGGAACTCTGGGTAGATTCCCTGCCTCCCACGCCACATCAGGGTCAAAAGTCTGATGGAAAAAAAACAATCTGAAAAATTTGCAGAAAAATATAAACACTTTTCATCCACTTATTTTTATTTTATTTGATTACATTTTTGTATTTTTAAATGACCAAAGCCTGAACCTTCAGCTTCACATTTGTTTTTCAAAAAATCCAAACTTGTTGCCTGGATTTGGCTCCATACTGCCCTTACTGAGCCAGCACTAACTATAAACCTGAGCCAGCACTAACTATAAACTTGAGCCAGCACTAACTATAAACTTGAGCCAGCACTAACTATAAACTTCAGCCAGCACTAACTATAAACTTGAGCCAGCACTAACTATAAACTTGAGCCAGCACTAACTATAAACTTCAGCCAGCACTAACTATAAACTTCAGCCAGCACTAACTATGGACATAAGCCAGCCCTGACTATGAACCTGAGCCAACACTAACTATAAACTTGAGCCAGCACTAACTATGGACACAAGCCAGCCCTGACTATGAACCTGAGCCAACACTAACTATAAACTTGAGCCAGCACTAACTATGGACATAAGCCAGCCCTGACTATGAACCTGAGCCAACACTAACTATGGACATAAGCCAGCCCTGACTATGAACCTGAGCCAACACTAACTATAAACTTGAGCCAGCACTAACTATAAACTTGAGCCAGCACTAACTATGGACATAAGCCAGCCCTGACTATGAACCTGAGCCAACACTAACTATAAACTTGAGCCAGCACTAACTATGGACATAAGCCGGCCCTGACTATGAACCTGAGCCAGCTCACTCGGACACTCAGGTGGCGGCACGGATCTCTGCCTGTCTGACTGACAGGCAGAAGATTCTCCCACACTACTCTACTCCTCCGCTCTCTTCACTGGCTACTGGTGGCTGCCCGCATCCACTTCAAAACATTGGTTTTGGTCTTGAACATTGACAAATACAACAATGAATTCAAATCACTCATGATTACGAGCCCCTCTTAGTTGATGCCCTACGCCACATCAGCGTCAAAAGTCTGAATGTAAAGAAAAAAATGGTTGAAATGCACTTATTGTAAGTCGCTTTGGATAAAAGTCAGCTAAATGTAATGTAATGTTATAACTATGAACCTGAGCCAGCCCTAACTATGGACATGAGCTACACCTAACCATAAACCTAAACCAGACCTAAACCTAAACCTTGGTTCAACTTCAAGCTACAATCTGCAAACTCACCACTGATGATCCACATGCTGAGACCTGAGGCTTTAACTATTGTGTGGATTTATCTGTGTGCAGTGGAGTGCAGTGACGGTGTGTTCAGGGAACGCTCCGGAGAATTCAGCAGTGTAGATTTCCCGTCTCCGTACCCGAAAAGTTCAGCGTGTTCGTACCGGATCGAGGTGGACCCGGGCTTCAAGCTCCTCCTCCAGTTCGACCCTCGCTTCGAAGTGGAGGACCACCCTGACATCAGCTGCCCCTACGACCACCTGAAGGTGAGAACAGCACATACACTCCCGTACACACACATATGTTCTGGTCACCTGTCTCTGTCAGATCACAACAGGAAGCAAGGAGTTTGGTCCATTCTGTGGTAATCAACCTCCAGCAGAGATTCAGACGGACAGCAACGTTGCCACCGTCTTCTTCCACAGTGACAACTCAGGAGAGAACCTGGGCTGGAGGATCACATACACATCTACAGGTAGATACACACAGTAGACTACACACTGGTACAATTCTGAAGGTAAATACACACTAAACATCTACACGTAGACACACACCATACACTACACACTATACAGTATTAATGTTCATACAGCAGTCAGCAAACTCCTGAATTTCTTTAAACACTTTCATTATGTTATGACAGGAAGTAAGTGTCGGGCCCCTGAAGCCCCGCCCAATGCCCTGCTGACTCCCGTCCAATCCGAGTACTCCTTTAAGGACCACATCGTGGTCACCTGTTCACCTGGATTCACACTAATGAAGGTAGGACACATCTACATATTTTTACTTGCAGTTTTTGTTTTTTGAGAATTAGTACACAACTCACGTATTAAAATAACTAACTGCCACAACTGTTAAAGCTGCAGGCCAGTGATGGAAAGGGACTTTGCACATTTATTTAGGTTAAATCCAATAACTTTATTTGACCTGACCAAAATCACATTATAGACCCATAAACCTGAACCAGCCCTAACTATGAACCTGAGCCGGCCCTTACTTTAAACCAGATCTAAACCTAATCATAAGCCGGAAACAGCCCTTACTATAAGCGATTAAGAGAAGGATGTTTCTCCTCATGTTATGTGTCTTTTTGTCTTTTGTTTGGTTCAGGACGGAGAGAATCTGGATTATTATCAATTAGAGTGTCAGTCTGAAGGATCATGGAGCAGCAGTCCTCCTCAATGTCAGAGTAAGAAATCATTCTGCAGCATGTGAAGCTGATGTTACCGTTTGACATTTAATTCTAACAGTTTATTTTTAAGGGACATATCAGGAACATGGTCATTTCACTCATAACTGTAAGTCTGACCTTCTGACTTCTTTTGTTCTACAAAGCTAAATTATCAACATGGTATTCTCTTTCTAACAATAAGAAGTCAGCACTTATGAATATTCAATTCAATTCGATTCATTTTATTTTGTATAGCCCAAAAAGCTGCTGCTTCTTCTTCTTTTGAGTATAAACAAAAGTGGTGTAAACACGTTGTCCTTCACTACTTCAATTCAATTTTATTTTATATAGGTCAAAATTGCAAATCACCAATTTGCCCCAGAGGGCTTTACAGTCTGTACACATACAACATCCTCTGTCCTGAAACCCTCCATCGGCACAGGAAACACTCCCCAAAAAACGAAAAAAAACCTTCCAAGAGGGAAAAAAGTAAGAAACCTTAGTGAGAACGTCAGAGGAGGATCTGTCTCCTGATGGACAGACTACAATGGATGTCATGTGTACAGAATGAACAATGTATAATACATGCAATTATATGACAGGAATGAATCAAGTAATATTGTAGGTTGTGTGGTAACTGCAGCAACAGACCTCAGATCAGGTTGAACTTAATGCTTTCCGTCTCTTTCTAGAGGCAGACAGAGGAGGAGATGCTCTTTGTTTCACATCTTCACCAATCACCGCCCACATTAGTCTGATTCTTATTAACTAAACTCTAGAAACACTTTGTCAGTAGTTTTAGATTATTTACCAATAAAGCAAATAAAAAAGCATCTCCAGCCATGTTTTTTTCTCAAACAATCTGTCGATGATAATAATGACAACAATGTGATCAGTGAAGATTTAGAATTTGTATTTTCTTCTCGTGAGGAAGTAGAATGTTTAGCATTGTCCTGTATGGACTCCGCCAGCAGCAGTTTTAACACTGATGAACATGAAGTAATAATAAATCATTTAGTGTTTTAGTTTTATACACATTTTAAATCATTAGATCCATCTGCAAAATATATCAACAGATTTGTCAATACTGTGAAAAGGTGCAAAGAAGGAAAACAAATATGTAAAGTTAAGATTCATATTGTCTGAATTTGGAAAAAGTACAGATATTATCTAGATATAATGTGGTATCTACATTTTTCAGTTATTGGGGACAATGGTTTCATCATGTCTGCATATTTTGCATTGTGGTGCTCCTCAGAACATCTGGGTGCTTCTTTAGTCTTCATCATGTTCCTCTTCCTCCGCACTGACTGATGGGGAATCTCTCTTTTACAGTGGTGGATTGTGGGAGTCCGAAGGTGGTCTCCATGGCCCACTTGGTGTTTGGGAGCGATGACAACAGCACAAAGTTTGGATCAAGTGTTGAGTATGTTTGCAGAGAGGACTTCTTCCAGCTCAACAGCAGCAGCAGTAAGAATTTTATGACTTTATTATATATATATGTGTGTATATATATATATATATATATATATATATATATATACACATACATACATACATACATGTATATATACACATACATACGTTTTACAAATTTACAGACAGCATGAGCAAGTGTGTGTGTTTGTGTGTGTGTCCTAGGTCTCTACAGCTGTGGTTCTACTGGAGAATGGCAGAACTCACAATCAGGGTCTCGTCCACCTACCTGTGTACCAGGTAACCTTCATTCTGCCACAGGAACTCCTCTCTCTTCTCTTTACTCAGGACGTGTTTCTGCGTCTGCGTCGTCGCGTCGACGCACTGGTTTCACTTCCTGTTTGTAAAGTCTCGCGTGTGTTTCAGAGCGATTCACCTCCAGAACAACAGGTGGAGTCACGTGTTTTGTTGAAGACGACCTAGAGAGTCACGTCTATTTATTTATTTGTTTATTTATTTATCATAGACTTTATTGCCCCGTGCATCCACACTGCTGCTTTTCATCAAGGACACATTTGTCCCGTATTTTCCTCCACAACTTTGTTCCTCTCGACCGGCAAACCGGCGTTTGCGGCGATCTCCCTCCGTGAATCCAACCCGCTTCTAAACCCGCCAATGACGGCTTGTACACGTGATCATATTTACGCATTTCTTCAGACAAAAGTTCTTAAATCTGCTCCATTCTCTCGTAAACATTCTTTGTTTTAATAACGGCCGTATCGGGCTGTGAAAGCGGAGACGTGAGACTCCGTAAAGGACGTAGTTAGCGGACCGATCGCAGCCTGGTGCGCTGCGGGAGGCATTCGTTGCTTGCGTCGAAAGCGACTAGAAAAATGGGTCGACGCAAGCAAGCACGCAAGGGGGTATGAGAAGGCACGCAAGGGACACGCAAAGGACACGCAAGGGGGTCTTGCGTCTGCGTGTAAGCATGAACTAGGCTTTAAGCTACTTGGTCAGCTGCGGTCCAGGTTAGTCCCCAATACTTAAAATGAACGAGTACATAACGAAGTACATGAAGAACAATCTACATATCTGTCTCCCTCAGTCCCTCCAGCATGTGGCCGGCCCTCCCGCCTCCCCCCCCCTCAGGTGAAGCGGATTGTGGGGGGTCGGCGGTCCGAGCCCGGCCTTTTCCCTTGGCAAGTCTTGCTCAGCGTGGAGGACCTGTCCCGGGTTCCTGAGGACCGCTGGTTCGGATCCGGGGCCCTGCTGTCCTCATCCTGGGTGCTCACAGCGGCCCACGTCCTGAGGTCCCAGAGGAGGGATGCCAGCGTGGTCCCTGTAGCCCCTGAGCATGTCCAGGTCTCCACCCCTTTATCTTCACCTCTTTATCTCCACAACTTTATCTCATCGGGCACTACATCTACACTTTTAATATGTCGTCCATTGTGTCAACATAGATATCTTTAACCAGTTTCACCAACCAATTACTCTTTACTAGTTTAAATGTTATGACCAGTTTACCAGTAACTAACCATGTGATTCAGGTATATCTGGGTCTCCATGACAACACAGACAAACGTCTGGCCACCAATCGTACGGTGGAAAAAATATTCCTCCACCCAAACTTCCAACCGGACAACTACAATAACGACATCGCTCTGCTGAGGCTGGAGGAGCAGGTGGGGTTTACTGAGTTCATCCGACCTGTGTGTCTGCCTCCACCCAAAAGACAGGTACTAGTACTACTGATACTACTATTGATACTGTATTTGTTTAACTCAATAATAAATTGACCATTGACTCTGAGGTTAAACCATTGACTTTTGGGTTAAACCATTGACTCTGAGGTTAAACCATCAACTGTTGGGTTGAGCCATTAACCCTGAGGTTAAACCATTGACTTTTGGGTTAAACCATTGACTCTGAGGTTAAACCATCGACTATTGGGTTAAACCATTGACTCTGAGGTTAAACCATCGACTATTGGGTTAAACCATTGACTCTGAGGTTAAACCATCGACTATTGGGTTAAACCATTGACTCTGAGGTTAAACCATCGACTATTGGGTTAAACCATTGACTCTGAGGTTAAACCATCGACTATTGGGTTAAGCCATTCACTGTTTCCTCCCAACCTTGCCCTATCTGTTTTTCAGGGTGACCCCCCTTCACCTCTCCCTAACTCAATGGGTGTGGTTGCTGGATGGGGAATCTCCAACCTCAACACCACCTCCTCCTCTGGTGACCCCATCAAGCTGACCGCCAAACCCGGGATGACCTCTGACCTTTTGCAGTACGTCAAGCTACCAGTGGTTTCTCAAGACGAGTGCGAGGGGAGCTACGCCTCACGCTCTGTTAGCTACAACATCACAGACAACATGTTCTGTGCCGGTTTCCTGGAGGGGGGGAGGGACACCTGCCTGGGGGACAGCGGGGGGGCATTTGTGATGGAGGACATGGTGAGCAGGAGGTGGGTGGTGTTTGGATTAGTGTCATGGGGGGGGCCGGAGGACTGCGGAAGTCAGAGGGTCTACGGAGTCTACACACGAGTGGCTAACTATGTGGAGTGGATACAGAAGCAGCTTAAGACCGCCCCCTGGTGGTGAGACAAGTGGAGGGATGGGTGGAGAGACAAGCAGAGATGGGTGAAGAAATGGGGGGAGAGACAGGAAGAGGGAATTGCGGAGAGACAGGTGAAGACACAAACAGAATAGCAACAAGAAAGTTTGCTCCTTGGTGTAACCCTCAAACCTGCAACCTAAAGCAAACTGTGCGGAAACTTGAACAGTTATGGCGTTTCACCAAATCAGAAGGATCTAGGCTAGTACCTTCTGATTTGGCAGACAGCCTTAAAACATATAAGAAGGCTCTCCGTAACACCGTGGATTTCTTTGGACCTCGTAGAACTTCTTTAATGATAGGATTCTGACTTTAAGAGAGAACATGTATGGTCTCCTGCCTTCAACCAGTGCCGACCCGTCCTCGGATGTAAGAACCTTGGATTCAGCAGTGGCCCCTGACAGCTACTTGGATGGCTTCTCTTCCATCAGCCTTGGTCAACTGACTTCTACAATTAAAATTGTAAATCTTCTACTTGTCTCTTGGATCCAATTCAGACAAGGCTGCTTTTCCTTTAGTTAGCATGTCTTTACTGTATATTATGAATCTGTTGACAGGACATGTACCACAGTCCTTCAAAGAAGCTGTAATTAAACCACTTGTTAATAAACTTACTCTTGCTCCAGAGGTGTTGGCTATCTTTACTTACTCCCCAAACCTCCACCCTAACCCTCAGATCTAAAGGCAGCTCGCTCCTTCGGGTCCCCTACACCGCTCCACACCCCGGGCGACCGGGCCTTTTGCTCGACAGAAATGAAACAGTCTCCCTGACCACCTGAGGGCAGCACGGTCACTGGTTTCAGCAAGGCGTTTTACTCTATCTTCATTTTTTCCCCTTTGTTTTTACTAGCTTTTACTTTATTTGAACTATGTTTTACCTATGTTTTGCTGGCTCGATTACACTTTGAGATGTGTTGAGGAAGGGTGTGTTATGAATAAAATGTATTATTTATTCCCTTCCTTGAGAAATCAATCGCAAATTAGTTGTGCAATACATATCAATGGTTTAATTGAGGATTTACTGCATCATAGCACAGAAACAGCACTGGTGAAAATTACGAATGATCTTCCAACTGCCACGGACCATGGACTTGTCTTTGTTCTTGTCTTCTTGGACCTCAGTGCCGCATTTGACACAATTGATCATTGTATAATGTTGCAAGGACTATAACATTTGATTGGTATTAAAGGGACCGCAATCAGCTGGTTTAAGTCGTATTTATCGGATTGATCCCAGTTTCCAGAATCCTCAACGTCAATTGTCACAGAGTTCCACAAGGTTTTGTGCTTGGACCGATTTCATTTACTTTGTATATGTTTCCATAAGGTGATGTTATATATGATAACATATGTTCGTCCGTTTTCTCCCCCCATCGAAGGGTATTTTATTTTTTGGGGCGTTTTTCCTGTGCCGATGTGAGGGTTTTACAGAGAAGAGGATGTTGTATGTGTACAGACTGTAAAGCCCTCTGGGGCAAATTGGTGATTGGCAATTTTGACCTATATAAAATAAAATTGAATTGAAGTAGTGAAGGACAACGTGTTTACACCACTTTTGTTTATACTCAGAAGAAGAAGAAGCAGCAGCTGTTGGATCTGAAGAGTCCAGATGGCCAGATGTTCTCCACCCCTCAGTGGCTCAGCCCTCTGTGCCGTTGAGGTCTGGTCTCCCCATTGTATCTCTGATCCAGTTCAGGAAGTTCCCCAGACGGGTGTAGACTCCGTACTTTCCCTTTCCGGCACATTCTTCTCCCCAGCTGACGACCCCAGTGAGGAACCAGGTTCCTCTGTAGTTCACCACGAACGGACCCCCGCTGTCTCCACTGCAGGCGTCCATGCCCACATCCAGGTAGCCAGCACAGAACATGTTGTCTGTGATCACCTGCAGTGTCATCATGGTTGTTTTCAGTGACATCATTATGGTATACACAGTGATATAATTATAGCATACACACAAAGTGACATCATCATGTTAAACGCAGACGTGCACAGCGCAGTGTATACGGTACACACTGAAGGTGGGTATGATGTAGTCACCTGCTCCGTGGAGGCGGCGCATACTCTGAAGCTGACCACTGGGAGCGTGACCTTCCTGAGGAAGCGGGAGGACCTCCCCATGTAATGAGTGAGTCCCCATCCCGTCACCACGCCGCGGTTATCCTCCTGAACACACAAACCGTCCGTCACCCTGCAGAAACACGACCCTCATTGTGTCAGTAGAGCTACCTGCAGCAGGTATGTGGACAGGTGGGGGTCTGGGAGGCAGGCGGGCGCCACGGTGGGGCTCCTTACAGCGGGCCGGTCCAGGTACAGCAGAGCCACGTCGCTGTCGAAGGTGAAGGAGTGGAAGTGAGGATGGACGAAGACCTTCTGAACCTTAATCACTTGCTCCCCTGGATCCGGACGTCGCTTATCGTAGTCACCTGAGACGTGATTCATGCGTTAGCAGGGACCCACACAGAGCAGGAACAAAAACACACAAACACACAAGGTCACCTAAGGTCACATGGTCCGGTGTCTCCTCCAGGCAGTGAGCCGCAGAGACCACCCAACGATCAGAGACGAGGGTCCCACCACAGAACCCGTAGCCATCAGACCTGCAGAGCAGAACCTGGACAACACAAACACAAAGTACACACACACAGCTTCATAACTAGACACATCCCACACACTGCGGTTTAATAAGTGTATGTGTATACATATGTATATATATATATGTATACAGAAATGTTTCGGCTATATATATATGTTTATATAACATCCATCCATCCATCGTGAAACCACTTATCCTGCACACTGGAGTCCATCACAGCCAACGTCACGTGATAGACGGGTTCATCCTGGACTGGTCACCAGCCAATCACAGGGCTACACAGAGACACACAACCATCCACACTCACACTCACACACCTACAGGCAATTTAGAGTCCCCAATCAACCTGATCCCCAGAGCAGGTCTCTGGACTGTGGGAGGAACCCGGAGAGAACCACACAGACACGGGGAGAACATGCAGACTGCACACAGAAAGGCCTCTGGGCGGAGTGGAACCAGGACCTTCTTGCTGTGAGGAGACGGTGAAAACCACCACGCCACCATGCCGCCATGTTTATATAACATGCTATATGTATAGCAGAAACATGTTTCTTTTATCAAGGAGCAGCATAAACTTAGTAGTTGTTCAAACTATAGAGTATATGTAAACTTCAGTAGTCGTTATAAATGTTTATTGGTTCTATTTATGTTCATAATGCTTATTGATGACTATAAGAAGCACTACATGGAGGGCACTCGGACTAGGGGCGGCATGCCAGGGTTACCTGGATAAAGAGTTACAATGAAGAGCAGCTTGTTCTCACTGCTTGTTCGTATTTAAAAACACGACAATAGTGGTTACAGATAACTTGGTTATTAATAACTTTAGTTCCATCAACTCCGCCTGGAAGATATTTCAAATGAAAATGTCCAAGATATTCCTCCCACTGTTCTCAATATTCTCTGCGTTATTGTTCGATAGAATAATTGTTGGCGATAATAGCTAGTGATGAGATAATAACGTGTTATTATGTGCCTATATATATATACTGTATATATCAACACCTGCCATGGACTCCTTCCTGGTTTCTCCAGGACTCCGCCCACAATACGACCCTCCACTCCTCCTCCCTCCTCCCCAATCAGCTCTGTCTCATTGCTTCCTCTTTGCCCAGATGTTGAGTTCACTGTGACCAGCTCCTCCTCCGTTTCAACTACGTCCGGGTCAGCCAGCCAGTTGGTGTTGTTGTTGTTGGTGGTGTTGATGGTAGTGTTGTCGTCCCTCATGTGGGTGTTGATCTGCTCTGTCTGACTCCACAGAGAGCGACTCTGGTACAAAGAGAAGTCTCTGTGCTGACGACCACAGGGGAATGACACTGTTTATAAAAATATGAACGTAAAGTGTTCAGTATTTAGAGTCCATATATAGTTATGAATATACACAAATCAGAGTATCAATAACCTGAATATACACTCAGCGGCCATTTTATTAGGTCCACCTTGCTAGTAGAAAGTTGGACCCCCTTATAACTTCAGAACTGCTTGAATTCTTAGTGTTGTACTTTTAACAAGGTGTTTCCTTGTTCCTCAAACCCCCACCAGTCAGGCTTCAAGGCTCCACAGAGACTGCTCTCCTCGCTGTCTCAGAGCAACTCCACACTGCTAGAGCTCCTCTCTCTCCTCTGTCCTCGTCCTTCTGGACCTCTCTGCTGCATTTGACACAGTCAACCACCAGATCCTTATCTCCTCCCTTCAGGAACTTGGTGTCTAAGGCTCTGCTCTCTCCCTTCTCTCGTCCTACCTCGACGGACGCACCTACCGGGTAACCTGGCGAGGATCTGTGTCGACCTCGTCCTCTTACTACTGGAGTTCCTCAGGGTTCCGTCCTGGGTCCCCTTCTCTTCTCGCTCTACAACAACCCTCTCTGCGCTGTCATTCGCTCGCATGGCTTCTCTTACCACAGCTATGCCGATGACACCCAACTAATTCTCTCCTTCCCTCACTCGGATCTCTGCCTGTCTGACTGACATCTCTCAGTGGATCTGCCCACCATCTGAAAATCAACCCCGCAAGACTGAACTACTTTGACTCCGTGTTAACGCCCACTTTGACTGCAGGAACCTCGGCGTGACGTCGACAGCCGACTCTCCCTGACTCCAACATCACTGACAACACCATCCTGTAGATACTCGCTCTACAACATCAGGAGAACACGTCCTCTTCTCACTCAGAAGGTACTGATTCAGGCTCTTGTCATCTCCCTCCTGGACTACTGTAACTCTCTCCTGCAGGTCTCCTGCTACCATCATTCCACCTCTGCAGCTCATCCAGAATGCAGCAGCTCCACTGGTCTTTAACCTTCCTAAGTTCTCCCTCACTCCTCCACTCCTCCGCTCTCTTCACTGGTACCGGTGGCTCATCCAGTTCTAAACATGGTGCTCAGGTACCATGCTGTGAATGGATGGGGTCCAGCTTACATCCAGGACCTGGTCCAACCCGACATCCCGACCCGCACTCTCCGCTCTGCATGTGATAAACTGCTTGTTCCTCCTCACTGAGAGCAAAACATTCGACTAGATCTCCACTCTTTGCTGTCCTGCTCCTAAATGGTGGAAGGAGGTCTCTGAAGACATCAGGACCACAGAGAGCCTTCACATCTTCAGACTAAAGACACACCTCTTCAGACTCTACCTCCACTAACACACTAACTGTAGCACTGACATTGGACTTATAATGGTTCTTATCTACAGCAAGTTGTAAATTGGCTTATTTGATGAAATTGCACTTTCTTGTTTCTTGTTCTTCTGAGTTTGTCTCCTTATGGTTGAATGCACTTATTGTAAGTTGCTTTGGATAAAAGGTTCTTGGTTCTTAGGCTTAGTACCGGCTCTTCCTTTTTCGAGAGGGATTTTCATTTTGGTCTTTTTGTAATACACTTTGATTTGCTTCTTGAGTCGTGCAGATTCAGTAACATTCTCTAAGTATTAGTGGTATAATGTGCAGTAGTTTGTCATAGTTACAGTGGTATTATGCACTGTAGTTTGTAGTAGTTACAGTATTATAAGACACTAGTTTTTATTAGTTACATTAGTATAATGCGCTGTAGTTAGTTGCAGTTGGAGAAGTATAATACGGCATATTCACAGTAGTTGCAGCAGTATATTACTTTGTAATACTACTATAGCTCCTACAAAGTACTGAGTAGTTTGTATTGGTTACATTATCATTATATAGGCTTTAGTTTGTAGTAGTTGCAGCAGTAGTACAACCCGTTAGTGTAACAGGCTCTGTGAGTGGTACCTGACTTTGAGCAGCTGCGTCCGTCCTCCTCCAGTCTGAATCCATCAGCACAGCCACACCGAACTCCATCTCCCAGTAGGTCTCTGCAGTACTGCATACAGCCCCCGTTCCTATAGCGACACTCCAACACCACTGCCCCCAACATTCCCTTGTTACCTTTACACTGTGTCACATGGTAAGCTACAAAGCACCCCTCTGTTGTGTTCTTTGTTATTCATTTTAAATGTGACTGAATGATAAGATTTCAGATTGTGAGTTATTGAGTTAAATCACTAACGAGCATGTTTTATATACTATACATACATTATCTGGTATTGTACGTGCAATGTCATCTGCATAGAGAAAAAGATCATATGACTCTGGGAGTGTTTCACGTTTAGCAAAATACAAATAATCGGCCTCCTCAGGTCCACTGAGCCCCCGTGCTGCAGTAATCATCGTTACCTGAGTCACAGGTCTTGCCGTGATACTGAGGAGAACAGAGACACAGGAAGTCTCCTCGGTCCAGAGTGCACATCCCTCCATTCAGACAGGGGTTGGTCCGACAAGGGTTCAGATCTACAACGCAGAGGAGAGGCACTCGAACACGTTGCGACTTCTTCCACTTCACTCACAGTTAAGGTCATATTTATATTATCGCTACTCCTACATTCATTTGGTTCAAGAGTTTGAGTACATTCATGTGGAATGATTGAAAGTTCCAGAAGAGTTGCTAACAGCTGGAGCTAATTCAGTAAGTTATTTTGGAGTTCTGGTTTGAAAAACATATTAAGTCACAAAATCACAAGTCACAGAATGACCTTGTGTGGTACGTAATGACCTCACCTCGTTCAGTTTAGATGAACCCTCAGTGTGAAAATTAGGGAACTTATTGTATACTCACTTGTGTATTTGTACCAGAACTCCAGCTGTGGAAAAATAAAGTCAGAGTAAGTGCAGCAGTATTTGGAGTGCTTCTATCTACAGTCTGAGTGTTGTGACCTCTCTGCATGCTGTGCAGATGAACACACACCGTCCTCCAGAAGGAACATCGCAGCAGACACAACACCTTGTTCTCAGTGGCCCCTTGTGGGTCCTGGGGCTCAGGTTGGACCACAGTGGTCCTTCCTACCGTCTTCTCGCTGCTCTGGAAGATCTCGCTGGCCTCCTCCTGCGAGCACGTCTCCTCGTGACACTCCCTCTCCAGATCTCCGGGTAACATCTCCTCCATGAAGAAGGCATTGGCTCGCCGCCTCCGAGCGGACGAGCCGAGGACTTGACCTGCCGAGGGCCGGTCCAGGAACACTGAGTGGGGGGCGAGATACAAATACTCCGTACGGTGCTTTAGTACTAATACCATCTCAGAAGACACATCAGTCTGTCTTACCTGTACAAGTAACCAGTGGGAAGCAGGTCAGCAGGGTGCAGAGGGTCCACATGAGTAGCATGTCTGTCCGTCTGTCTCTGGGTGTCTCCTGTGGGGACAGATGCTTGGTCTCTGAGGTAAAATGGAAGGCGTCTGCTGATCGTTGAGCTCAGTTCAAATATTGACAGACGTCACAGCCTGTGGGCCAAGAGGTCAAAGGTCAACCTATTACATAGGACATAAACTCCTAAATCTACTATCAATAAGGATTATAAACCCAAACAAACTTTATTATCTTGAGAGTAAAGGGATTCAACTTTAAATCTTCCTTCTATCCATTTTGTTTTGTTCAGATAGATCTTTATTCATCCTCGATAGAAGCTCATTGATTTAGACACTTTGACAACATCCATATTTTCAGAGTTAAAACCTAAAAATAAACAAGGATCAATCTGTAATAAGAGAAACTAGTTTAAAGGCACAATAATCAAAGTAGTAACGTCAAAAATCAATGATTTTTATATCGATTGTTTGGTCGATTTGTGTTGGAGAGACAATGTATGAAACAGACACAGAAACGTGTAAACGTTTTATTTGATAAAAGTTAGGACTTCAGTTTAGCAGGCTTCAGAAAGATCGAATGTGATTAATGATTTATAAATAAACAACAACAACACGCCAACGTTCTGATTAACGCCCTCATTGTTTGTTCTTAAAAGAGACAATACGTTTCTATTGAGAGACAGACAGAAAGACAGAATGAGAGAGACAGAGACAAAGAAAGAGCAAGACAGCTTGTCAGACCACCAGGTTGGTACACGTCATCTCGTCAGTATTCAACACTTCTGTTTAGAAAGTAAAATCGAAACATCAACTAAGGTTTAGAAGAAATAAATATGGGTTTTAGTTTAAAAGAAGAAACACGGGGATGCTGCAATGCCTTAAAGGGTTCGGAACACGACAGACGGGCGGTTCTGATTGGCCGGCTGCTCAGGTGAGAGACAGCATGCGTTGTTTCAGAGGTCCTGAGCCCTCTAAACTTGAGCTTGTTCTCTGAAGTCCAAACATCAAGAACCTGAGGATCCTGTAGGTAGGAGAACCGGGTAGAACCCAGAACCTGCAGCTGGTGGTGCGGTCTATAGATTAGCTCGAGTCTGGATCTTGTAGGTGAGCCCTGATGGTGGGTAAGATAACAAGGCACTGTTGGGTTATCTGGTTCTGGGAGTAGATCGGCCTGCAGGCTGGAGGTCAAGCAACGTCAGCGAGCAACGGCAGTAGAAGGAGGAGGGGAGCAGACAGCTGTTTCTATGGCAACGAGAAGAAAGAGACGGATTAAATGTGAGACAAAAACATAAGGTTTGAACCTTCTTAATACTAAAAACATCATTACCTGAGGATTCACCTGTTAGGCCTCGCTGGCGCTGCTGTTCCTGTTGAGCTCTCTGATGCCGTGAAGGATTCTCTTTATGTGACCGACCTTTGTCACCCCAAGGTCCTGTGACCATAACACAGTTAAAAGTACACATATCAGTAATCTGACCGGTAAGAATATCAGTCGGTAAATGAAGATAAAAGCAGTTTATAAATCTGACAATGATATGAGCGTATTGATACTAAATATCTAAACAGGATTATCCAAAGGTAACAACAACCCAATGAAGGTTAGCGGCTAGCAGGTAGCAGCAGTACCTTCAGGTCCCTCCTCTCCAGGTGGATCAGTTCGGCCCCACGGACATCGTGCCCCATGAAGATGTCTTGATACTCGTTGAGAGAGAGAAAGCCCAGCCACGCCCCCACCTCCTCCGTCCCCCACTGGTGGACTGAGAGACCAACAGGAAGTGGGTCAGGTAAACAGGAAGTGGGTCCGGTAGACATAGGGTATGTCTCAATTCCTCGGCTGTCCCGTTCCATCGGCTCCGGAGCCGGTTTGGAGGACACATCTGGTCTCTCCTTTGCAGCCCAGCATATCCCAGCATGCAGTGTGGTCCGACGAGGATTTCATTTATTCAGGCGGGTGATCCAGCAGCACAGAGTTCACTTTTAAATGTTACGTAACCAGTGTCGAGTTTTAAATACACATAAGACGCAAGAACAAAGTGGTCTTAGTTATAACGTAACTCCGTCCTGCCCTCCCCTCCCCTCCCCCTCCCCCGGCTGCCTCCCTCACCCGAACCCCCCCTGGGTCCATGTACTGCTTCTCATCAATGTGCCAACACACATTTATAACAAACACACAACGAGCAGCTCGTCTGTGGTTATTAGTGAAAAGTCACTTTAATGACTTTCACACTTTAGAGGCTGTGTAATATCTTACTGAGGCCGTGACGCTTTATACTTCATATCATGAACAGAAATGGATCTCAGGTAAGTGAGCCCAAGCAGACAAGTTATGAACGGAATTAGCTCACAGGATCCTCAGGTTCTTGATGTTTGGAAACAACGCCTGCTTGTTGAAGACCACCAGTCAGTGATCCACCCGTCTCTCACCTGATCAGCCGGCCAATCACAACCGCCCTTCTGTCATGCTCCTGGTGGACATGTTGGACCTCATCTGCATCTTAAAACTAAAGTAGCTTGTATATGCAAGAAGATTATAAAGAGTCTGTGCATAAAAGTTAATAAATGTGTTTTTATTGGCTGTATTGATAGATTTACGGAGGAAGTCCCCCATAGGACAGACGGTCTCCTTTCAGAGACCGCTTGGTTCAGACCATGCGGTTGTTGGAGACCCCGGCCCACATAGACCAGAACTTCGGGTCCTACGGAGGATGCAGCCCACCAAATGAGACACAGCCACAGATATTGGTCCAAACTGACAGGAAGAGGTTCAGAAAGACAGGAGTGCAGACAGAAGAACAGGTAGAAAGAGCTCACCTGGCAGAGACAAAGTTGTGCATGTCTCCTTGTTCTTATTGTTTTTGTCTTTTTTGAACTTGGGGACGAGGCGAAACTTTGTGCTCCGGCTCCGTTTGGAGAAATCTGGACCCTGAACACACACAGACAGGTCGGTAGACAGACAGAAAGACAGACAGACACACACAGGATGCAGCATCTGGTGCGATGGCGGTTTACCTCGTAGTCCGACGGTTCAATGACAGGGAGACAGCCAGGAAACATCGGCCAGCCGACGGAGCTGCTGAGCAACGGAGCTCAGAGCTGCTTTCAACTGCTCCTGCTGAGGAGGATCCAGCTGCTGCACTCAGAGGACACGGGGACCGAAATGAGGACAAGCACGAGAGCTGACATGTCTCTAACACCTTCACATCTCAAAAGGCCCATCAGAGACCCAAAGGACAGACGGAGACACTTACCATGGACATCTTTCCAGCCAGCAGCAGTTCAGTCTCGCTGAGTAAAGCTTTGACGTTGCTGACCATCTGGAGGACCACGCTGCAGCACAGAGCCTGCACAGAGACAGGACCGACAGGCAGACTTTAGAGACAGATTAAACCACACAATGCGGACACTCTCCATCCCATTCCAAACCAGAACATTAGGAGAGAGACCAGGACAAGGACCGGGACTGAAGCCAAGACATACATTAGGACAGAGACCAGGAGAGGACAAAAGAGACCAATAGGTCTGTTAAGTACCTGAGAGTTGTTGGAGTTTGCGTAGACCACGTCCATGGCCTTGGAGCTGGCGTTGACAGCGTGAGCCAGTTCCTGTTCTAGACTGTGGTGAGTTTCAGCAACCTCCCGAATACTGAAACACAGAATGACAGAATACTTCAATTATAATAATATATGTGTATATATATATATATATATATATATATATATATATATATATATATATATATATACACACACACACACACACACACGTATCCATTGCAGTGTGTCCATCCCGGGACACACGGGTTCCTCCTCTGACGTTCTCACTAAGGTTTCTCCCCTTTGTTTTACCCACATTTTGTGGGTGTGTCTGAGGCACATTTATAAATGAATTGAATTGAATACAAATATATTAGTGCCATTAGTTCAACGCGTTATTAACGGCATTAACGCAAACCCATTTTAACGGCATCAATTTTTATTTTTTTCCCTACATGCTTTGCTTTACATGTTAAGACCCAGCTGCTTTAACCTGTTTGTGGGACATAAACCTTCATCTTGTAGTAAAAACTCCAGCAGCATGACAGCGTACCAACATATGATGTTATATTAAATTAATTAATTAATTAAATTAATTAATTAATTAAAATATCAACATGTAAATTGCTGTTTTTTTTTTTACATGTACATACAAGTACATACAAACCCATTGCACTATAATTTAATTTTTACCACCCTGTTGGGCTGTTGGTTTTAAATAAAATAAAACATTTGCATACACCAAGCCAATCCACTTTTCCATGTTGATAAGAGCATTAAAATGAAAGAAATATATGGAAAAAAAGAAACGAAGGGACATTTAGAATAGATAAAAATATGATATGTATATATACACGTATGTATATATATATATACATATATGTATATATATATATATATATACATATATATACATATATATACATGTATATATATAATATATATATATATATATATATATATATATATATATATATATATATACACACACACACATACATACACATATACACACACATACATACATAGATATATGTACACATACACAGACACTAGTCCTGGGGTTCGATTACAATGTTCAATCACATTATAATGCACCCAACCCAATACTGATGGGACTGAGAGACAGACTTTCAAAAGAATAATAACAATAACAACAAAAGCTTTAACGCGCTTTCAAAAAATGATTTGATGGCGCGAGGCCTCTCTGGTCCCCTGGGGAACACCCTGGTCCTGCTGGTGGACCCTCCAGCTACTGCCCAGCAGAGATCATTGTAGGCCTCTCTGGTCCCCTGGGGAACACCCTGGTCCTGCTGGTGGACCCTCCAGCTACTGCCCAGCAGAGATCATTGTAGGCCTCTCTGGTCCCCAGGGGAACACCCTGGTCCTGCTGGTGGACCCTCCAGCTACTGCCCAGCAGAGATCATTGTAGGCCTCTTTGGTCCCCTGGGGAACACCCTGGTCCTGCTGGTGGACCCTCCAGCTACTGCCCAGCAGAGATCATTGTAAACGTGAGTGGGTGTCATGAGTCACACACTCTGTCCTGAATACCTGTGTATCAGGGCTCCTGCTGCCTGACCAAACACGCTGATAAGCGACGCCTCGTCTTCAGATACGACCTCTGGCTGAGAAGAGAGGGGGGGCTGAGCGGAGGGCGTCCGGAAGAACTCACACTTCTGTTTGTCCTCCCAGGATTTAAGGGTGCTCTCAAACGCCTGAAAGATGCAAAGACACACAGATGGTGAAGCTCTGGTAGAGTAACGGTACGACTGGTTGCTTGTGGTGCCAAATTGCGCTTAACAAGATATTTGTCAGCTTTTGTGAGTCAATCTTTACGTATAGTCGACTGCACACAGGGCTCAAGGACACACACTCGTCTCACAGCTTGAACCCTCCTGGGTACATTTCCAATCATAAAGTATTGTATATGCTACCAATCAATTAAAGGCCACCACACATAGTTCTCAAAGTAAATGCTTGTGTATTAACAATTAATGGGCATACAATATAATACACAGTCATTCCGGTTTGGGGGGCTGAGCCGGGAAAGGAACAAAATAATTGTCCAGCACAAAAAGAGTCTCACTGCTTTACTGTAGTGTCAAAAGTTATGGACTGTTCAGTCTAGTAAATCCAGTCCGACCATTACTTTACCACGGAAGCTTTCTCCGCGTCTGAATACGCTCCAGGATCTCGTCCTGGCAACTTTCCGCGCTCAACAACCGGATCGCTCGTAACGCAGACTTTAGTTCGCCCACATTCCCCTTTTGTCACCCTTTCAGTTGTACTGTGTCTCTGGTGAGGTCTAGTACTCACCCGGTCTCTGGTGAGGTCTGGGTAGTACTGTGTCACTGGTGATGGGTCTAGTACTCACCCGGTCTCTGGTGAGGGTCTGGGGTAGTACTGTGTCACTGGTGATGGTCTAGTACTCACCCAGTCTCTGGTGAGGGTCTGGGGTAGTACTCTGTCACTGGTGATGGTCCTAGTACTCACCCGGTCTCTGGTGAGGGTCTGGGGTAGTACTGTGTCACTGGTGATGGTCTAGTACTCACCCGGTCTCTGGTGAGGGTCTGGGGTAGTACTGTGTCACTGGTGATGGTCTAGTACTACCCGGTCTCTGGTGAGGGTCTGGGGTAGTACTGTGTCACTGGTGATGGTCTAGTACTCACCCGGTCTCTGGTGAGGGTTCTGGGTAGTACTCTCGTCACTGGTGATGGTCTAGTACTCACCCGGTCTCTGGTGAGGGTCTGGGGTAGTACTCTGTCACTGGTGATGGTCTAGTACTCACCCGGTCTCTGGTGAGGGTCTGGGTTAGTACTCTGTCACTGGTGATGGTCTAGTACTCACCCGGTCTCTGGTGAGGGTCTGGGTGTAGTACTCTGTCACTGGTGATGGTCTAGTACCTCACCCGGTCTTGGTGAGGTCTGGGTAGTACTGTGTCACTGGTGATGGTCTAGTACTCACCCGTCTCTGGTGAGGGTCCTGGGGTAGTACTGCTGTCACTGGTGCTGGTCTAGTACTCACCCGGTCTCTGGTGAGGGTCTTGGGGTGACGGTCACTGGTGATGGTTCTAACTACCCGGTCTCTGGTGAGGGTCTTGGGGTAGTACTCCTGTCACTGGTGATGGTCTAGTACTCACCCGGTCTCTGGTGAGGGTCTGGGGTAGTACTCTGTCACTGGTGATGGTCTAGTACTCACCCGGTCTCTGGTGAGGGTCTGGGGTAGTACTCTGTCACTGGTGATGGTCTAGTACTCACCCGGTCTCTGGTGAGGGTCTGGGGTAGTACTCTGTCACTGGTGATGGTCTAGTACTCACCCGGTCTCTGGTGAGGGTCTGGGTGCGGTTCTTGTGGATGATCTTGATATACCCTGGAGGCTGCACCCAGGCTTCCCCGTCCACCTGCACCGGGACGCCCTCATCGCCCAGGATTTTGATCTTCACTGTACGGCACTGAGAGTGAGACAGACAGCGTCAGGGAGTAGAACGGCGAGACAGACAGACAAACAGACAGACAGACAGGCAGGCAGGCAGGCAGGCAGACAGGCAGACAGACAGACAGGCAGACAGGCAGACAGGCAGGTGTACCTGTGTGATGCGGTGATGCTGCAGGTTGATGACCCGGGACACGGCCATCTGCATGCTGCCAAACACGGCCACAACCTCAAGGATCTTATCATCAAAGGACGGAGCTGTGAACATCTGACAGACAGACAGACAGGTGACATCACTCAATCAACAGAGAGACAGGTAACATGACGGAGAGACAGACAGGTTCAGGTCTCACATCATCCTCTTTGGTTCCTCCCCAGAAGTTGGTTCCTCCTGCGTAGCTGGGGATGTTCAACACAGCGATGCCTTGAAGGCTGGGCAGAGGGATGGGCCGCCCATCACACTGTACACACACACACACACACACACACACTTTGGACTCGTGATGAAAGGGTCGTCGTGCGCTCGGAACCTCAAGGTTGGTGTTTGAGCCCCGGCTGGCCCATGTCTCAAGTCGAAGTGTCCCTGAGCAAGACACCTGACCCCTAATGGCTCGAGGCCACGAGTTAAAAATGTAAGTCGCTTTGGATAAAAAGCGTCAGCTAAATGACCTGTGATCTAATGTCATGTGATGATGATGATGATTGTGTCAATCCCATACATTCCAATGATAGTCCATCACATGAGGATGAAGATGACGATGATGACTGTGGGTCTCACCTTCCAGCAGAACCTTCTGCTCCAGGTTCTTGTAGGTTCTGTGCAGCAGCTCTTTGGTTCCCAGGACTCCGTACCACATCATGTTCTTAGTCCGACTCCTGACCATCACACACAAAGTACACACTTCAGGTTTCCATGCAGACAAAGGTTGATTCTTGTTGACTTGAGTAGTTAGTAGTTAAATACCTGCACTTCTCTGGATGCTCATCTCTCTTGTTGTTGAAGTCCAGAGATATTTTAGCATCCAGTCCGATTCCAAAGTAGTTATTCATGACACACTTCTCAGTATAGCAGTCTCTGTACACACGGACAGAAAGGCAGAAAGACACTCAGACAGACCAACAGGTAGAGAGACAGACAGTCAGACAGGTAGACAGAGAGACAGACTCACACATTGTCGGGGTCACAGCTGAACGGGTCGGCATTGACCAAAAGTTGACTAATCACAGAACTGCTGGAGAGAGAAACTGAGATTCCTCTGAGACCTGATCCACATACACACAGACGGGTTAACATCCAACTGATGACATCTTCACAAGTTCAAACTTCCTGCGTGACCTTAGAGCTTCGTGCCTGAATAGAGGATCTTGGTGTTGAGTGTCGGCATCTCCCCATCACCGCCTTTGCTGATCAGCTTCTCGCAGGGTGTCTTACCAACTGAGGAGACAGACAGGCACAGAGACAGTGGTCATGGTTATGTGCTTCCCCTTCTATTACCTATCCATCTGTTACCAGCAGGACCCGAAACAGCAGAACCAGTCCCGTACCTTTGCATGCGCTGTGGTGCTTTCTGCTAGAAGATGACTGCAGAGACGCCCCGTCCTCCTCCTCTTCCTCCTCCTCTAAACCCTCGTCCTCCTCAGGCCGGCTGGAAGTGAACAGCTGCTGCTGGGTCTGAAGGTTCTGCTCGTCCACCGCTGGAAGAGAAACTGCAGGATCAATAAGAGGTCCGAGGGTCCCTCTAACTGGTGAGTGGTGCCTGTGGACCGGACCTCTCTCTGTATGCTCCATGATCTGCCTGATGGCTTTTTTCAGACTGTTTGCCCGAAGCATCAGCTGCTCTCGAGGTTTGAAGATGGCCGCCGTGGAGGAGGAGGCGCTGCCCCGTGGGGAACAAGGCGGAACATGAGGAGGAGGATGGTGACGGTGATGATGAAGAGAAGGAGGCCGTTCAACGCTGTCAGCGTCCTCCTGCTCCTCAGCAATGGTGGGGGGGGGTGCCGGGGGAGGCAGCATGCAGGCCTGAGACTCCTCATTCAGAGTCTTCAGAAGGGAGTCAAGTTTCTCCTTCAACACGCCACACTGCAGAGACATGACAGCATAGAACTCATCACATACATGACACATATATGTATATATATATATATATATATATAAAACAAACCTTCTTGGCCATGAGCTCAGACTCATCTGAACTTTCTGTGTTCTTTTCGGAAGCTTTACCCACCCGGGCCACCAAGTCCTTAACCGTCTCACACAGGACCCTGAAGTACACACAGAGAACACACATTATATACACACGGGACCCTGAAGTACACAAAGAGAACACACATTATATACACACGGGACCCTGAAGTACACACAGAGAACACACATTATATACAGAGACATATTGAGTCAGACTAACATGATACACATAGACCAACAGTATAAGCAAGGAAGCTAACTACAGACAGACAGACAGACAGACAGACAGTTGTACCTGGCAGAGGAGATGACGACAGAGTGCTGGTCTGAGGTCAGTATCTTGGACAAGTGAGCAGCTACTGAGTCCTCGTAGGTGAGAATCTGCTGAACCTCGATCAGCAATACAAACAAGTCAGTAGGTAAAGTTCTTTATATCATTGAATAATTATCTGAGGAGAAGCTAAAAGCAAAGTGGAGCCCGTTGGAAGTCATTTCCTGTTACCTCAGAGTCGTCGCTACAGTCTTCAGTAACAGTAGAGCCAGAATGTTGCCGCGGAAACTTGGTTTCATAGACCATAATACGCCACCTAGAACAGGAGGAGAGACAGTTACCTGTCTCACACCAGCCACCTGTCTCACATCTGGTACCTGTCTCACATCTTGGTACCTGTCTCACATCTTGGTACCTGTCTCGCATCTTGGTACCTGTCTCGCATCTTGGTACATGTCTAGCATCGTGGTACCTGTCTCACATCTGGTACCTGTCTCGCATCTTGGTACCTGTCTCACATCTTGGTACCTGTCTCACATCTTGGTACCTGTCTCGCATCTTGGTACCTGTCTAGCATCTGGTACATGTCTAGCATCGTGGTACCTGTCTCACATCTGGTACCTGTCTAGCATCTTGGTACCTGTCTCACATCTGGGTACCTGTCTAGCATCTTGGTACCTGTCTCACATCTGGTACCTGTCTAGCATCTTGGTACCTGTCTCACACCTTGGTACCTGTCTCACATCTGGTACCTGTCTAGCATCTTGGTACCTGTCTCACATCTGGTACCTGTCTAGCATCTTGGTACCTATCTAACATCTTGGTACCTGTCTCACATCTGGTACCTGTCTCACATCTGGGTACCTGTCTCACATCTGGGTACCTGTCTAGCATCTTGGTACCTGTCTCACATCTGGTACCTGTCTAGCATCTTGGTACCTGTCTCACATCTGGGTACCTGTCTAGCATCTTGGTACCTGTCTAGCATATTGGTACCTGTCTAGCATCTTGGTACTGGCTCTTTCCAGTTTCTCGAGTATCTGAGGCAGCTGCGTGTCGTCGTCACAGGCTGAACCCCAACCGAGAACACGGGCCAGATCATTCCCAGTCCCCAGAGGAAGAACTCCCAGCTGACACTGGAAACCACAACAGCAAAAGGATGAACAGCAGGTTGACGTGGAGCTTGTGAGGAAGCGTCAGACCACACCTGTTTGTGCAGCGTGAGAGCGTCGATCTCAGACAGAACCCATCCGACGCTGCCGTCTCCTCCACACACCAGAATCCTGAAGGTGTCAAACTTCTGGAACAAACGCAGACTGACAGAGAGACAAAGTCTTTAGATGACTCACACAGGGTAACGCACACTCTGTGTCGGTCTCAGTGTCTCACCCCAGGTGAGGCCCCCCGTTCATCAGGTCAAACACCTGCGCCGGGTTCAGCAGCTGCTTAAAGCGCCTCAGGAATTTGACCCCCTGGTTGTCTCCGCTCTTAGAGTTGACAAACACCAGCAGAGGACTGGTGCAGGACGGGGGACACGAGGCCTTCCAGAAACCTGAACATAGACACCAACGGTCAGCGTGATCAGGTGTATCACAGGTGATCAGGTGTATTGATCAGGCTCACCGTCAGAGTCGATGCTGTTGAGTGCGGTCGGGGGGATGACAGAGACCTTACACTGACCCAGAGGACACTTAGAGGACAGCTGCTCCTTACAGCCTGAGTGCACCTTGAGGACAGAGGGACAAACCTCACTGTTTGTCCTGAGTGTGTCCGTTACAAGGTCTGCATCCCTGAACTACACCTGATCCGTCATCTTAATCACACCTGCTGTGGGGGACAGTGGGTGAGTGGAGAGCATGGCCGTCCTGCAATCAGAGGACTGGTGGTTTGATGCAAACCCGCGTGTGGACGTGTCCTCGGGCACGACGCCTAAACCCAACACGCAGCTGTGACAAGTGTGTGAATGCTCGTTCCTGATGGTCACATGTCCGTGTGTGGTAGCTCTTGTCATCATACACCTGAACTACAATCTGAACTACACCCAAACTACGATCCGTCTCTGGTCTTCACCATGGCTTTACACCAGAGACACCTCCAGTCCTGTAGACGGAGGACACTGCCACCAGTTCTTATCACAGACGTTACATTTGGCGGAGACCGGCCAGGTTCCCCTCCAACCACTGATGGGCATGACACCTGAGGACAGAGGTCAGGGGTCAGAGTACAGAGGATTGGGGTCAGCAGGAGATGATGTGTTAGTGAGTCTCACCCCGTCCTCGTCCTCGATGATGTCCTTTCCAATAGAGGCCAGAGTTGTCCATTTACAGTTGTTAGTGGCTCTGACTGCACAGCGCTTATGAGCCTTGAACTTACACACTGGCACACAGACACTTAATGTACACACACATTTAATGCACGCATACAAACTGATGTGTATAGAGTAATACTGTGTGTACTATTTGTATGTAGTATTAATATGTGTACAATATGAATAAAGTAGTAGTGTGTGTACTGTGTGTATCTGCTCCACACATCTGGAATAAAGTCCCAGAAAGCTGCAGGTCTGCTGAGACTCTCAGACAGATGGACAGACAGATGGACAGGTTTGCTGAGACTTTGCTTCCTCTAATTGAACTGATTTCAGGACGAAGTAGAAGCTGTTTACTGTTTAATTCATTAGATGCAACTTTTATTCTTGTTTAATGGCAATCATTTTTATATTTCTTTTAATTTTCCTGATGTTTTGAATGGTTTTATGTGAAGAACTTTGAATCCCCGTGTAGTTGAAATGTGCTATACAAATACATGTGCCTTACCATATGTGTACTGTGAGCATTTAGGAGTACCATGCATTTATGCATGTACTATGTGTGTACCTTCACAGGACAGCCCGTGGGACGTCACCCCCGACAACGCCTCTCTGCACACGTTGCAGTACGTTGGGCGGGCGTGAGAGCAGGCGTACCAGTTGTGCATCCCGCTGAAGTGGTCCATGCTGTACTGGGTGGACTGGGAGAGACACACAGTCAGCTGCTGCTGGACTCACCTACTGGTCAAAGTGGGGACGGAGACACACCTCAAAGTTCTGTCTGCTCTGGACGCTTCGCAGAGCCGCCATCCACTCCTCCATCTCCTTCCTGTTGTCTGCACACAGGATGAGGCGTCTGCAGGGGGTGATGACCTACACACACACACACACACACACACTCAGTATTTCCTGGTTGTGCAGATGAAAGCAGCAGAATGTGTCATTTGCAGATGTTGACATCCACTTCCTGTCCAGCTGCTACACAATAAAGCTGTGTTCCCACACTGACAGAAATAAACAGAAAGACAGAAATAAACAGAAAGACACACACACTCACACACACACACACACACACACACACACACACACACACACACACACACACACTGGTTTGGATTTGCCTGTAAGAAACAGAACCCAACATGGTTCTGCTTTTTTTCCTGAGTTGTACCTTTGGGTTCTACTGTGGAACTGAATCTAGGTCATGGTTCGGGGACAGACACAGACCTGCTGATGGCGATTGGTCAAACAATACCAGTTTACCACCCAGTTGACGGAGACACCAGAGGTTTCATCACATGGACGTCAGAAGTGTTTCTGATGAAAGGTTCTGTTGTTTTCTGGCCTGCAGCGTCACATGATCCTCATGATCATCACATGAGGAGCATCATCAGTGGTTATTTTCCTCTAATTGAACTGCTTTGACCTTCTGACTGTCAGCTGACCTATGGTAAAGCTTGAGCGACGACATCCCAGTCTGACTGACAACGAATCAGCTTCTTACCGTTTGTTCTTCGGCAGTGACAACGTATCATTATAGAATTATTAAATCCAAAAGTCCTGTTTAGAGTCCTGAACCAGAAGGATTATGGTTTCTCTCTGTGTGAATGTTACTGCCTGTGTCTCTCTGCAGTGAGCCCTCCTACTTCCTCTTCTGTGACTCAAGGCCACTTCCTGTTGGTCGTCACGCCGACCCCTCACCCCCCCACAGACACACACACTTATGGACATAAAGATGTTTGCGCACTCACGGTGAAGCTGTTGTTGACGTTCTTGGTGCTTGACTCCGCCACGCTGGCATCCGTCAGGTCCACCTCGTCAAAGATGATCGACTGGAGACACAAAACTCTGACATCAGCCCGCCAGCGTCAGAAGAAACCGCTTTTACTAATGCTGAACCGATCCTCCACCTTCTGCCTTAAACGTCTGCAGGCGGGACAGAGGCGGATCCTGCACCTGCAGACTGGCTCACCTTTGAGGTCTGAGCATAGTACAGCGTCCTCCCTCTCAGTTTGAAGTATCTTCTTTTCCAGCGCTGGAAGGAGTTAGTCTGCTTCATCAGATTTCCTTCTCTCAGCACCGTCTGGAACGCATTGTTCACAGTTAATGAACTTTACACACACTCTTGGTTAAACTGAACAAACTACTTTAGCTTTTTCTGTTACAACAGAACAAGGTTGCAGCAGAGAGAAAAACATCCTGTGATGAAGAGGTTCAGTCTCCTCCTGCAAAGGATCATTAATGATCAAATCAGCACACAAAGGAAAAAAGGAGGAAATATACCTTTTAGAGATCACTGATCATGTTTTTTTCACCGCTGATACAAATTATTGATCATGATGATCCATACTTCTGTTTCATTACAGCAGCTGGTCTTAAAGGAGAGTTTATACTACATGAAAACTTGCAATTCAAATAATAAGAGAGTACTGAACTGAGCTATCGATTGTTAGCTGCTACGGGTGCTGCTCACCTTAAAGGTAACATGATCAGAGAATAGAATCACCAGATCGATCATCAGCAAAACTTTATTTGAAACGTTCTTTTGGTTAACGTTAAACTGTCATTAATCTAAGGTTCATGTGTCAGATCCTCACAATAATGGACCCACTGTTTGAGCTATTAACAATACCAGTGGGAAACAGGAAAACGCTTCACGGCTGCGGGGTCCGGCTGTCACGCTCTACTTTCAATATTGCAACATTTGATTGGTATTTAATGGGAACGTACAAAGCCGGTTTCAGTCATATTCATCTGATCAATTTCCAGTTTTTGAAACCTCTTATGATACACTTCATCTAGATAGCCCTGCTCTGGGACCCAGCAGGTTTATAGTTAGGACATGTGACCCTAATTGTTGCACACTATTTAACATGTGCACTACAGTAATGTCTCATCGTCATTGTATGTTTTCTACAGGTGGGGGCAAAACAAATCACTTCATGTTGCGATTAAGTATTAAATTAAAAAACAACTCATGTCTCACTACAGAAGTCAAAACACTCTTTATCAACCGTCTAAACTCTCCATTACTAAAGCAGTAACCGGGAAAGAGACAAACGTCTCTGTCTCTGTGACGGTGGTCATTTTAATCTGATTAACAAGCAGAATTCCTTCAACTCAGCCACAGGTATTTCCGAGCTTTTGACGTTTGCCTGAAGGCGGCATCATGTCGGTAGCGTCCCGGTGAAGTTTAATCGAGTGAAACGGCGCTACGTGTCCTAAATAAACCGTTATGTTCCGTTATCGTACAAACGATAGTTCTTATTCAACATAATACACCTGTAGGGACACCGAGGACCGTTATGTCCAACAATGCTGACACCGACCGGCTCCACCCTCCACCTCTACGGGTGGGCGGCGGCAGGAAACTCCGGGGCTTTCCACCGGGCCCGAGGCCATTCGGCTAATCGGTACAGCTAACGGTACCGGTGTCTGTCCGTTAACCGGTGCAAGTAAACGTGTTCCCCGGGACAGTGGACCTTGTGCTTTCATGTATTAAGTGTATCTAAATGCATCACCTGATTATTAATCATTGATTCTGGTTCTAGTCATTTAAAGGTCCGTTAGCTTCGAAAATATACAAAACTTATTTCAACGATGATCAACCGGGAGAACTAATTTACACATTTTGTATTCATCATAAGTCGTGCGATGTTAACTGTTCTTCAAATATAGAGCAGAAGCTATGACCCAAACTCCACCTGACGTACGTCACATTTTGAAGAAACAACGTTTATTAGAAAATATGCTGGAAATCGAAGGGCTTCAGGTGACGTCACATCCGTTCTTTAAATCGGCATAATCGATCCCGTAAAGCGGCCCAGCTTCGGATGGCGGGTCTGTTTATTTACATGTTTACTCCGCTCCACGTCGACTAGAGGAGCATGAAGACGCGGAGAAAAGGGTGAAACGTGTAATAAAGACAAAGTATTATGAACACAAGGGACGTTTATGCCGAATTAAAAATCGGCCTCTTCGTTTTCACAAACATTTGAACTGATATTACATCTAATTCGTCTCCTTCTGCTGGGAAAGTTTAACTGACGTTTTGTTAGGGGTTCGGTCTATGGTCTCTGCGGGAGGAGAACGCTGAACTTCTGGACGAACCCGTGTCCGGTAACTACCGCCGCTGCTTTAGCCTCGTACCTTGCTGCGGATCTGACCAGAAGTGGACACTTTTCGGATGAGTTTCTGTGGTGTTCCGGGCTCCTGCTCCGGTTCACTGTCCGACGACTCGTCCGGGAACCGGGCCGGAGCAGACTCCGTTAAGTCCGCCATCCTGTGCTCAGACCCCCGGGAGGAACTGGAGAGAGAGCGCCCCCCCGAGGCGGAGAGCGGGTACGCAGGGGCAACGCGGGGGACGCTGTTACGTCACCAAACACCAGGGAGGTCATAAGGGGCGCGTTTGATTCATTATATACATATTAACTCGCTAACAGCCAATAATAAATAAAAAATCAGTGTAATTTATTTTAAAGTATTGTTATCAGAACAACAACAACATCTGTGTGTTATCAGAGAACAGCAGGATGCATAACGCAGCATGTAAGTGAGGAAAGTGGACCAGCACCGTCTGTAAAGACTGGATTTTCTTTGAATCTCAATCAAAGATAAAAACACTTCCAGGTTGAGCAGTTACACAGTGACTAAAGTAACGTTTAACGTTCACTTTCCCACACAAGAACTTATCTTCTTTCTGGGACAACGTGACCAGCAGAGAACCACCTTGTTGTACTTCATATTGTGTGAGGCTCCTGGTACTTCAGGCTCCTGGTACTTCAGGCTCCGGGTACTTCAGGCTCCGGGTACTTCAGGCTCCTGGTACTTCAGGCTCCGGGTACTTCAGGCTCCGGGTACTTCAGGCTCCTGGTACTTCAGGCTCCGGGTACTTCAGGCTCCTGGTACTTCAAGCTCCTGGTACTTCAGACTCCTGGTACTTCAGGCTCGTAGTACTTAGTACAAACAAACTGACGACTGATTCTTAAATTAGACTAATGACTAAAATGCTGGTGTACACTTAGTACACCAGTATACAGCTATGATTCTGAAACTATGAGAATATTGTAATACTGCTGTCACTTGAAACTGTAATAATTAATACAATAATACCAATGCACAGCAATGATTGTATTTAACGTAATGTAACCAACCGAAATGTGATACCACCACTTATATTGACCGAGACACATCCGAAATCCGAGTTACAGTGAACGCACCGTCCAGTGTAATACCTTATTGCGCCACATATTCTGCAACTAGTCAACTTGAAAGTCACATGTTGGTCCTCAGCTGAGATGTTCTTTTTAAGCACAACACCTTTTCCTTTATTAAATACTTTTACTTAATTTTTTTAATTAGTTAATTACATCTAAGATGTCTTCTGCCGGTCCAGAGTTTCTTAATTTTTGAACACAACATACTCCGGCTCGTAGCACTTCATTACATTACAGGTCATTTAGCTGACACTTTTATCCACAGCGTCTTACATTACATTTTTAACCCGTGGCTTTTTACATCTTTGCCAGGGAGCAATTCGGGGTTTGGTGTCTTGCTCAGGGACACTTGGACATGGGACATGGAGCAACCGGGGCCCAAACCACCAACCCTCTCTACCCCTGCGCCACGTCGACCCCGACATCAGGCTCCTAGTACTTTAGGCACGTAGTACTTCAGGCTTGTAGTATTTGGCTTGTGGTACTCCTTAAAGCTTGAAGGCTCTGTGGGCTTCTTCTATGAACCCTCATTTTAGTTCTTTCCATAGATTTTCAATTGGATTAGAAAAAAGTCCGGTCATTGGCTCGGCCATTCTAGCAGCTTTATGTCTTTCTCTGGTTTGGGATAAAGGTCTTATTGAAATGTCCACCACAGATGTTTCATCTTCATCATCCTGGAAGATGGCAGCAGATTTCTATCCACCCATTCTTCCCCATTGTAGGAAGTTTGCTGACAACCAGCACCCCACTGTGACGTTCCCACCTCCACTTTTGGTGTGCTGTTATTTTGGCAGAGGTGGAAAGAGTACTGAAAATGTGTACTCAGTATAAGTATTGTTACATTGCTTAAATTGTACTCAATTACAAGTAAAAGTACTAGTGTTAGATTAGCGGTTGAAGTCTTGTAAGCAGATTCACCGTGTTGAAGTTTGCACTTCATCTGGACGCCGTCTCCTTTTCTCCCTTTGTTAATGAAACATTCCTCCTGGTACGAGCCGTCGTCCTCCGTCTTTTGTTCATTATTGTCCACGATCACTTCTGTCTCCATTCTTTTTCAAATTCTCAGTCCACTCTTTACTGTGTATTTTACCTCCAGAAACATTTGCCTGCTAAAGCAGCGAGTTGTCCTTTGCTTATATTATGTCTCAGAATAATTAGCGAGGACGCGATCTGACAGCCAATAAGGATTTACATTGAAAAAAAAAAATCTGACAGTTTGAATAATATTTTAAATTGTGGGCGTACTTGATAGCGACTTTTGATTTTAAAAGTAGCAAAGTAGATTACATGGTGTAAATTGTACTCAAGTATGAGTAAAATTACACACTTGAAGAAAATACTCCTAAAAGTACAAGTACCCAAAAATTCTACTTAATTACAGTAACGTGAGTATTTGTAATTCGTCACTTTCACGCCTGATTTTCGGGGGGTTAGGGTTTTGATGTGCGTTGCCTTTTGACCTCCACACATGTTGTGTATTTTGGCATCCCAACAGCTCCATCTTGCTCCCATCTGACTCCATTCTCCCAGAATATCACAGGCCTGTCTAAATGCTGTGCAGCAAAAGGCGCTTCAACCGGCTTTTTCTTCAGTGATGGCTGTGGCAATGGATCACTTCTACACGGCCATCATGGAGTCCGTCCTCTGCTCCTCCATCAGCGTCTGGTACGCTGCAGCCACAGCCAAGGACGAGGGCAGGCTGCAGCGTGTCCTCCGCTCTGCAGAGAGGCTGATCGGCTGCAATTGTCCATCAGGACCAAGACCTCCCACCACAAAAACAGTTTCTTCCAATTCCGAGTCCCCCACTGACCCAGACACTACATCCCAGGACATTTGCACAGTAGTCCACAGTAGTCAAACTAAGGACTCACCTCTTCAGACTCTACCTCGACTAAAAGACTAACAAATTGTACCACTTAAATTGTACTTATAACGCCACTTATCTATAGCAAGTTGTAAATTGGCTTATTTGATGAAATTGCACTTTCTTGTTTCTTGTTCTTCTGAGTTTGTACCTTATGGTTGAATGCACTTATTGTAAGTCGCTTTGGATAAAAGCGTCAGCTAAACGTGGGATGTAATGTAGTCCAACGTACCACATGTCTCAACGTACTTATCTGTTTATATTGTTAATATCTTTACTTTTTACTTTCATTTTATTTGTCTCATAAAACTGCACCAATCACCAGAACAAATTCAATGTAACATACGTGGCAATAAACGGCTTCTGATTCTGGATGTCAGAAGCATCGATCAATAACTAGTTGGTCATCAATCAGACAAACAGAAATGTTCATTTTAAAATGAAATATTTCTAAAATGTGATGACAATCTCATATCAATGAACCTCCTGAAAGTCTTTCATTCAAAGAGTCACTTACAGTCACGTTATTAGAATTTTATTTTGTACTTTCACTCTTGTCTTAAAAAGTACAATTATTATCCAGTAAATCAGACCATGTCTCACTTTAAAAGAGTCAAGAAGTAACATATTAAACAAACGGATATGTCTTTGTGTTTGTCTGTCCTCCTGTCCTCCTGTCCATGGGACATCTAGTAGTTCAGGCCTCAGTAGGAGACTCGTCATCGTCCCCGTAGACGACGCCCTTCAGGTAGACTCGCTTGAACTCCTCAAACACAAAGTCCTCTGATTCACTGCAGACGGACGAGAGAAGGAGCTGATTGATGTGACACCAGGGTGACACATCGATAATAATCTCAACTGATCAATGATTATTGATCACTGATCTCACCTCTCTTTGGCTAAAGGCACAACGTTCAGATTGTAAAGAAAGAAAAGAGAGATGTTTGTGTTCACATGTAAAAGAAGAAAAAACACATGAATCCTCTACAGGAAATCAAATTAAAACAACAGGAAGAGGAGGAGTTTACCTGTTTCAGGGTTCGGGTTCATCAGTTTGAATGGCAGCTCCAGAGACACCTCACTGTAACACACACACACACACACACACACACACACACACACACACACACACACGCACGCAAACACGCACGCAAACACGCACGCAAACACGCACGCACGCACGCACACGCACGCAAACACACACACACACTGGTCAGATCTGATGACACGCCGACAGGGAGGAAGAGGGAGAAGGAAGAGGAAGAGGAGAAGAAG